ACCAGAATTTCTGAACTGAACAATTATTTATCATCAATAGATTGGGATAACTGCATTGGTACCAACAGCATTAATGTAGATGTAGCAGCTGCATTTTTTTTATGATATATTCAAAACTTCTTTTTAAAAAGTACAAAACTTCTATTTCTCCTAAATGGTTTTCTGCTAATCTTTGTAATTTGACACTCCAGAAAAAGTAAACTCACTCTATTTATACCAAAGATCAAACTAGTGCTAATCATCTTAGATTTTCTCAGTTACGTTCAGACTGCAAGAAACTTTCTGACATGTGCTTCTAAAATTATAAAATAGTTTACTAAAAAATCAACATTTCTAACACCCGATACTCATGACAATAATAGGTATAAGTAATAACATACAGTGCTATGAGATCTCAAAGATTGATATCTTCAATGCAATCTCTGAACTTCCAAATAAACTAACTTCTGGTCCTGATGGTATACCAGATTTTGTATTAAAAGTGTATGCACCATCGCGTCATCTTTGCAAATTTTATACAATAAATCACTCCAATCATCCATTTATCCTGAAATCCTGGAAGGTTAGTAATATTGTGCCAATCTTCAAGAGTGGTAAAAAAGATTCTGATAAAGTACTCCAAGTACCTAGAATACTTGAAGCAACTATGTATAAAATAATTAAAATATATTAATATGAATTATATAAAATACATAGAGTACAAAGGAATACATAGAAATACCAGACAGAATACATATATATGACTACATGAGAATACATAGAAATACATGCGATTGCAAGGCAATACAAAGCTCTACAAATAGGATTCACATATAATTGCAGTAAATATCTAGATTAGCTCAACAGAATATTATAGTAGATAAGACGGGATTTCAGGTTATTGAAATTGTAGATGAAATTTGGAAAAAACAGAATTCAAGAGCCTGGAATAGTCAAAAATTGGCCTCAAATGAATTCCTCATTTTTTATAGAAAGATATTCAAGAGAAACAGATTTCAACATAATCCAATCCAGAGCCAAGAATATACAAAAATTGAATTTTAAAGCAAATCAAGATCTGCCGATATTCAAAAATTGAATTTCAAAGCCAAGGGGCAAACCGCCAGCCAAATTTGTACACTGAATACATGGAATGGAGTACCTACATAAGAATACAAAGGAGTCTAAAAGGGATACAATACAAGAATACATAGGAATACATTAGAATACATAAGAATACATAGGAATACATGCAATTGCAAGGCAATACAAAGCTCTACAAAGGAGCGCATGCAGTACTACTGACAGAAAATATGCTGTCATTAAAAGAACACAATAAACATAATGATATGGTTGATTGGGGTAGCATTCTATTGATTGATGCCTTGGATCACTTATAATTCAAGCATTTTATGAACAGCTTTACAATGCTATTAAGTTATCAACTTCAGTACATCAGCATAAGAATTCTAAATTCCAAAAGTGGATGGTCGACACCTTGAAAGAATTAATTTTACTGAAAAAAGCATCGCACAAAAAATTTGAAACATTTTCTTTAGGGGACTGCCATCTATTCTCTCAGTTCCGATTTAAGATATGACATACAGTTTTGGGGCTTTGCCAGCCGGCATCTTATTCAGTCTGTTTTTGTCTTACAGAAGCAAGCTGTGAGATATTTGAGAGGTGCTGGTCACAGAGATCACTGTAGACCACTGTTTATTAGGGAGGGGATTCTAGTATTTTTATCCTTAGTACAGTAGAGTTGGTTGCAGGGGATCTGATGTCGCTACAGCAAATGCTTACGCGACAAGATATAGCAGTAAAAATCTGAGTCTCTGCATTCCTAAAAGTACCCTTACTATAGATTCAATTATATATGAGGGTAGAAAGATGTACAAGTTTGGCCAACTAGTAAAGAAGATGTTATTGAAAAAAGCTTATTATTGCCTTGACGAGTTTTATGCGGATGATTTATGTTTGTAAAGTAATGTTTGTTTTTTTTTTTTTCTTTTTTAAGCTTTTTAAATTGTATTTATATATTTTAAGGAATTTTAGCTGTTTTTGATGTTTTTTTTTTTATTTGTTTTTCTATGACCACTGAGTTTATACTGTTTTATATGTTTTTATTTTCAGCTTTGTACATGAGGGTATTTAGGCTCTTTATACAATAAAGCATTTTTTGATTTGATTTGAAAGAATAGGTAGAGAATAAGATGGTATGGGATATTTTATTATTTGATAGTTAGTTACTAGTAAGTGATATTGATATGTTATTAACTGTATTGTAACTATATTGTAAGTTTATAACATTTAATGGAAGATTCCCGTAAATAAAGTAAATTTCTGGGATAACACAGCAAAACCTCTCACTATAGTTAACATCCCAGCAAACATAGATTATTGACGTTATACAGGGCGCTCCAAAATATCATATAAAAACGAAGGTGAATGAGTAACTTCCTTTGATAGTGATTTTGTCAAAATTTCAACCATATTTGCATTACCGTATAACCCAAAATATCTACATTATCTACTCCTGGATCGTCTTGTATCTGCACAGTCTCCATATGATTGTAGGTTAAGCTTTTACTTATGATATTTTAAGGAAGCATTTTCACATGAGTTTCAGTCAGGTCAGTTTGAAACTGTGATAACTTGTTCATATGTATAATCTACAGATAACGAGTAATGTGAAATATTTTTATATATGTACAGGGTGGCCCATTTTTGATGTTTTAATAGGCTATATCGAAAACCAGCAGAGATATTAAAAATCTGGGAGCACATTCTCGAGCTCTTTTTTTGAAAAAATAACAATGGCGAAGACAAATCACGGCTAACTTGATGCGTTTAGAAAATACAGGGCACTTTTCAAATTTTGTCCAATTTTAAAAGACTCTCTAATTTTCTTATTATCCAAGATATCCAAAAACGAAAAATACTTTCTATAGGCAGTTTTTCAAGGAGAATCCAATGGCATGACCAGACTCCAGATGCCTCCGATTTTGGAATATTGATGAAAGTTGTGTTTTTTTTTAAATGGGACACCCCATATATATTATTTTTTAATTAAATAGATCTTTGTGAGCTGATTTCAATGATATAAGGTTTTATACCTCTACCTTCAATAGTTTTGGAGAAAAAAAATAAATTCCATTTTTTCCATAAGAAACAATGAGCTAGAGAAAGATAAAGTCATTAAATAAATTATGTGTTGCCTATTTATCACCCCCGATTCATAGTTTAAATTAAAAAAAATTAGCTGAACTTAAAAACTGAATTAAGAATTAAGAAATTTGTAGCCGATTTATTTTTTTTCTCCAAAACTATTGAAGGTAAAGGTATAAAACCTTATATCATTGAAATCAGCTCACAAAGAGCTATTTAATGAAAAAATAATATACGGGGTGTCCCATTTAAAAAAACACAACTTTGGTCAATATTCCAAAATCGGAGGCATCTGGAGAAAAATTGATTATGCCACAGGATTCTCCTTGAAAAACTGCCTATAGAAAGTATTTTTCGTTTTTGGATATCTTGGATAATAAGGAAATTAGAGAGTCTTTTAAAATTGGACAAAATTTGAAAAGTGCCCTGTATTTCCTAAATCGAAAATGGGCCACCCTGTACATTTAACAAATATCATTGACAGAGTTATATTACATTGTTATATAACTATTCTCAAGAGGTAAACTGACAGCCAAATTTGTACACTGAATAATATGAAATACAAACGAATACAAAGGAATACACAATAAAAGAATACATTGGAGTATATACGATTGTGAGGCAATACAAAGGAGCACATGTAAAGTTGCTTCCGTCTATAATTTGAGATTTCAATGAAAATTTTATATTTTTTGACTTGTTGTACCGCCAGTACTCAGTACAAGCGCATAGGGTCAATAGATTCGTTATTTGTTCAAAATAAATGTTTCAAAATGTTCTAAAGGGCGTATTTAATTTAGCTTACATCCATTTTTTAATCCATTTACAGTTGCAAGGAAAACTAGAAAGAAATAATAGTCGAAAAGCATATTTTATTTTCAAATGAGCTCTTGAGCTAAAATCCTAGCCTTCCGGTCGATTGTTTTCTGGGTCTTTTTTCATGAATGCCAACAGTATCAATTATAGAGCAGTTCAGAGATTGTAGTCCTCTACTGGGATAAAAATCGCTGAAAATTTCAGGTCTCTATCTATAATAGAAAAAAAATTATGACCTTCCAAAGTTTTCCAGGATCTTCTTACTAAAACGATGAAATTTCAATTTTTTTTTTGTTAAGACTTTGTGTCCTTATAGTCATTTGGGATTCCCCAAACTCTATACACTCAATTATTCTCAGATTTGAAGCCGAAATCTATGAAAAAAGGCACTCAGAAAAATTGAAAAATTGATAAACCACCTCAAATTGCTTAACACGGTTTGATCTCGGGAACTATAAGTCTAAATGAGCTGAAATTTTTAGCGATTGTAGTCCTCTACTGGGATAAGAATCGCTGAAAATTTCAGCATTCTATCCGTAATAGAAAAAAAGTTATGACCTTCCAAAGTTTTCCAAAATCTAGATCATCTATGAAAAAAGGCACACAGAAAAATTGATAAATCACCCCAAATTGCTTAACACGGTTTGATCTCGGGAACTATAAGTCTAAATGAGGTGAAATTTTCAGTGATTGTAGTCCTCTACTGGGATAAGAATCGCTGAAAATTTCAGCTTTCTATCTATAATAGAAAAAAAGTTATGCCCTTTCAAAGTTTTCCAAAATCTAAATCATAAGGTAGCTGCCTTCTTACTAAAACGATGAAATTTCAAAATTTTTTTTGTTGGATTTCCTAATGGTCATTTGGGATCCCCCAAACTCCATACACTAAATTATCACTAAAGATTTGATTTTTAAGTTAACCCTTTCTCTGATTCTATGCTTTATTCACTCGGAGAATTTAAACAAACATCTTACAACTTCAGATTCTTGAAGGATAAATAATTTTGGCCATTTAATTTATCCAATTGTTCTTTCAGGGTACGAGACAAAACCCCAACTCCATCCCCACCGACTTAAGAGTGAACACGACAGCCTTAAATGCTGTAGCCCTCAGTAGCGTAGCCAAATATTGGGTACTAACTAATCTACTGCCAGGACCCATACCTCAAGTATCTGTTTACGGTCTACCCGGACGAGACAACAAAGGCAATTTAACGCAGGACGCTGTATTAGGCCAACACGCTGCAGGACTTTTGCAAGCTGATCCCCAATTACTATTGCAACAGCACGGTCAGTTGCCTGTAAGCATTTCTCAAGGGACTATTGGAATACCTGCAGGCGCTATTCATTTAGATGCTGTTTCACAACAGCACAACCATCAACAGCAACAACAACATATAGAGCATACCAATCAAGTTAGGGTAAAAATAAGTTTTTTTTGTGACTATTTCAAGCTTTAATTCAATTTATTTAGATGTCAAATTCCCAGCAGCAGCAACAACAGCAACACAATAACCAGCAAAACTTGGTCCAAGTCCAAGTAAACCAAGACAATATGGTTTCGGTCATCGACGAAAACGAAGACAAGCAAAAAGACCTAATGTCAACTCATATGCAACTCAACGAATCTCAAATCAACACCCAAGTCTTGGCGTTGCAACAACTGCAAGCTCAGCAAGTGCAACAAGTTTTGGACAATGTAATGGTACGAATGGAGTCTTCGACAATGGAGCAAAACAATCAACAACAGGCGGAGCAGCAGCAGCAAAATTCAATCAACAACATGGACAATATGATAAAAGAAGAAAAATCTATACAGTGCAAGTTTCTCAATAATGCCCAATTAGGACTGCAAGAATTAAAGGGCAATATTATGGATGTTAGAACTGCTGATGGCAGCATTGGTGAGTCGATATTATTTTATTTATTAAGCTAATTTAATTTATTTTTTTTTGTAGTAAAAATCCAAACCAACATGCAAGAGCAAGAATTGGCTAAAACCTTAGGCGTAGAAATGGTGCAAAATATGTACAAAGTAAACGTAGATGATTTAAATCAACTAATAGCTTATCACGAGATTTTTGGCAAGCTCCAAAACCCAGGAGAAGTTTCCACAGCTCAAAATCTACCTCCAAACAATAACAACAATAGCGTTAACTTGCAACCTCAAAATAATGTGGCCATAATTACAAAAGACGAACAAGACCCACAAAACAATATACAACAACCCGAAAATAATACTACTTCAGTTATAACAACAGCCAATCATCAGTGCGACTTGTGCATGAAATCTTTTCAATACAGATACCAGCTGATTGTCCACAGACGTTATCATGGCGAGAAAAAACCATTCACCTGTCAAGTGTGTGGGAAATCTTTTCAGAACAGCCAAGAACTGACTCGCCACGGAAAATGTCACTTGGGAGGCAGCATGTTCACTTGCACAATATGCTTTCATGTATTTGCGAATGCCCCTACACTAGAAAGACACATGAAACGTCACTCGGCTGATAAACCTTACGGTTGCACCATTTGCGGTAAAACTTTTGCCAGAAAAGAACATTTAGAAAATCACACAAGATGCCATACAGGCGATACACCATACAGATGTCAGTTTTGTGGCAAAAATTTCACCAGAAAAGAACATATGGTTAATCATGTCAGAAAACATACAGGCGAAACACCACACAGGTGCGAGCTATGTAAAAAATCCTTCACCCGCAAAGAGCATTTTATGAATCACGTAATGTGGCATACAGGAGAAACCCCGCATTGTTGCACAATTTGTGGCAAAAAATATACAAGAAAAGAGCATTTGGCCAATCACTTGAGAAGCCACACCAACGACACTCCGTTTAGGTGCGAAATATGCGGCAAAGCCTTTACAAGAAAGGAACATTTTACCAACCACATAATGTGGCACACCGGCGAAACCCCTCACCGTTGCGACTTCTGTTCAAAAACCTTCACTAGAAAAGAGCACTTATTGAACCACGTGCGTCAGCACACTGGCGAATCGCCGCACAAGTGCATGTTCTGCAACAAATCCTTCACTAGAAAAGAACATTTGACCAATCACGTGCGTCAGCACACAGGCGAAACCCCATTTAAATGTACCTATTGTCCCAAGGCATTTACTCGCAAAGATCATTTGGTGAATCATGTAAGGCAACATACTGGGGAGTCGCCGCACAAGTGCACTTATTGTACCAAATCTTTCACTAGGAAGGAACACTTGAAAAATCACATTAGGCAGCACACTGGTGAGTCGCCTCACAAGTGCCATTTTTGTTCAAAGTCTTTCACTAGAAAAGAACATTTGACGAATCACGTTAGGATTCATACAGGTAAGAATTTTTGCTGCAATAAATTGTGTTTAATTTTTGTTATGAAAACTAGGTGAATCTCCGCATAGATGTGAGTTTTGTCAGAAAACTTTTACCAGAAAAGAGCATTTGACTAATCACTTGAGGCAACATACAGGAGAAACGCCTCATTGTTGCAACGTTTGTTCGAAGCCTTTTACTAGGAAAGAGCACTTGTTGATACACATGAGATCTCATACGGGAGAGCGGCCTTTTGCTTGCAACGAATGTGGAAAATCTTTCCCGCTCAAAGGTAACTAGAATAATAATTATATTTCCAATAATATTCATACATTACATTCAAGTGAATTAGACCTTCTAATAAAAATTATTTTGTATGAATATGTTCCTTGGGTTTTGTGTGCCTTTCAAATTTCAATATTATATCGCTCAATATGGTCCATACTTAATTTCTTTTGCTTCTCGACTAATTGAGTCAGCCAAGATTTCCTCTAACAATATTGGGCTATTCTTGTGTTCAACCAGCTTTAGATACAAATTGTTATTTTGCACTCTTTTCTGACTGCAATTCAACAGGACTTGAGTGATGTCACCCACTTTACATTTATCATTGGGAGCTATGCCTATTTTATAAACATTTTTTGCAATGAATCTTTCTCATTCTGTAGAATGTGCTTATTTTATATTTTTCAGCGTGAGAAGTATTTGCTATTACAGTCGTCTTCCTTTTCGCTGTAAATGTTATTCCACTCCATGCTTCCTCTTTAACATTTTTGTAATATTTTGAGTAGTGTCTCTCAGTATTGACATAATTTTCTAGAATCCTGCCTGTCGCAACCATCTGTCTGCCATCTCATTTCCTGCAATGCCTGAGTGCCCCAATATCCATATAATTTCCATTATTGTCACTCCCATTTCCTGTAGTTCCATTATTTGTTTTCTAGTCTTCAGCGTGATTTTGTCGGATTCTCTTCTGATTCCCCTTCTAATTATTTTTTGTATTACGCTTTTGGAGTCTTTTTAGTTTCTTATTACAGAATTTAGTTCCACATATATAGCCAGACCTTGCGCTGTACAGATATTGGTAATGTCCATACATTTCCCCATTATCTTGATATTTCTTGTTTTATTAAATATTCCAACTTTGCATTCACCCGATATTGGTTCTAGGGAGGCATCTGTGTATATTTTATCAAACCCAGGGAATCGGCTGAGAATTTCCTTCATGTTTTTTTTGGAACGTTTTGTCCATATTTTTCTAACCTAAAATTTGTCCATTTTATCTTTGATAACTGTGTTCCATATTCATATGATTTTTTCAAGGTTTCTATGTTAAATAGGGTATACCGCCTCCATTATTGATGGACATTGTTTATTCCTCCAGTATTGCGGTTCTTGATTGTATAGCGTGTAGAAGTGTAGCAAGTTCCTGTTTACCACATCTCGACCAATGCCCCTTTTCTTGAAGGCAAACTTTGTGCATAACCAGGAAGTTTCCGACAATAATACAAATACTGGTATACTCTTCATACGCCCTGTGATGACTCTTAGTACTTGAAACTGTATTCTATCCAGTTTGTTCTAGTTGAGCTGACTAGTGTGGTATTTAGCCTGGCAGCCATAATTTAAGTGTGATCTCACCAACCCTCTATAGATGCTCAGTAGAATGTTGGGATCTACACCCCACCATGTTCTCATTAGTGCCCTCATAATATTTATTCCTCTTTGTGCTTTTTTGGTAGCCTGATCTATCTGGTTATTCCATGATTGTCTGTAATCAGATCTAACTCCTAGGTATTTATATTCCATGAATTACTTTATCTCATGATTTTGAATTTCAATTTTCTCCACCGGGCTTCTTCCCTTCTTCTCCTTCCCTTGGAGAACGCCATTGCCTTCGTTTTACCAACAGAAATTTTCAAATTATTGTCCTAGAGCCATTTGTTTATTTGCTTATTGCACTTTGCACCTTCTGCATAACCTATTCAATTTATTTGACCACCACAAACATTGCCAAATCATTTGCATATTGTAGGATTGATGTTTGTCCTCCTTTATTAGTATACAGGTTGAACAAAATGGAACTCAAAGGTGATCCCTGAGGTAATCCCATACAAATCACCTGAAGACTTATGATTCTTCCTTTTTTTGGGAGACTTTTTTTTTTCATAAGTAGATTGTAAATAAATTCTGTAGTTGTCTTGTCAATTTCGGCCTCTAGCAAGTACAACTTTAACCTCTGTATTAACACATTATCATAAGCCACTTTCAGATCACACACCACTGTCTGATTATTTGACAAAGCTGTATATATTTTGTTTGCCAGTATCACCTTATTTTCCATAGTTCCCCTCCCTTTTCGAAATCCATTTTGTTGAGGGCTGAAGAAATTTCTATTTTCAAGGAAATGTTCCATTCTACCTTTAAGGATAACTACTCTCCAAAATTTTTCCCAGGCTTGAGATAAATGCTAACAATCTGAAAGCAGTATGGTCATCGGGTTCCTTCTTAGGCTTTTTAATCTGTATTATTATGTGATTATTCCATTCTTTTGGTATTCCCAGTTTGGCTATCATTATTTTATTATATATTCCTAGCAGGGCTATATCGTTCTTGTTTTGAATATTGTAGTCTATTTCTTGTAATTTTTTTGAAGTCCTGTTGTCTGTGTTTTGTCCTACTGGTTTCTTCCCAAGTTGTGAACTGAAACTTGCCAGATTATCCAGCATGTTTTCTACCCATTCCTCATTGTCAGAGTTCCACCTTTCGTTTTGTGTATTAGTAGTGAATTCCTTAAACTTCTTCTTCTATTTATTTTTCATAGTTCTAGCTGCTATGAATGATGCTATATTTTTATAATTTGAAAAGTTTCCTAGCGACATGTTGTCCTTGAATTGTTTCATTGCCTTTGTCTACTCTTCACATTTCATCGCGTACTTCATCCTACCACTTTGGTTTGGGGACTCGTTTTTTTTTGTTATTATTTTCACTAATTGTAGTATCCCAATCTGCCTTTTTTGCATTCCATCTCTTTCTTGCTGGTCACTGGATCCAGGGTCTTTTATCACATTCCAGCTGCATATAGGCCTCATGTCTGCTGATGTTATTGTAATATATAAGAACCTTTAATTTTGATGAGGAGGGGTATTTCTGGTCCTAGTACCGTCATTCATTATTATTAGATTCAGGTCATTAACAATTTCAAATAGTCGTCTCCCATTATAATTACTTGTTTCTGATCCCCATGCACTGTGTTGTGCATTCAAATCTGCCATTATGATGAATGGACCGCTGATCCCTGTATATTGTTTGTGGTTAATTGTATTTCTGGGGGATTTTATGCATTGATAATATAATTAGGATTCCGTTGACTCTTATTCCCATAGCCTGAAAATTCTGATTGAAGTTGGTATTTATTTTGACCTTACCTTAGTGAACGTAATATGCGAGGGGATATAGACATAAAAAACTTGCAACTTTTCTCATCAATCAATAATCAGGTATTGACCACATAACACTACAAGCCCTGAGAACTTTTTCCAAAAAATCATTTGATAATCCCTTTCTATAGTTAATTTTTAAATAACTGGGTACGATGAATCAAACCCACCAAATTTTATTCCCTTAATTCCTTTGCAGAGTGTCCCAACACTTTTTCGATAGCCTCATTCGTATAAACATACACAATTTTACAAACTTTTTCAAGGAAATCCACCCAGTACCCGTCCGGAAAAATCTCCTCGCCAAACAATGGGTTTCCGGGTTTATTGAGGCGTATTTTTGTAAATTATATCTTCTACTACCCATTATGCTTACAAATAATGTACAATGATTTCCATATTTGACAATCACTGATCAATGATTGCGACTGATTGCCAATATTTGTCAAGTATTTTTGTATGAAAACTATGGTATGGTATGGTGATTCTCAATTGATTACCTGATTTCCCTTAAGCAATCATTCGATTCCCAGCTGATTTTTTCACGAAATAGGAGCCGTTGATATGTCCAAAATACCGTACTAGTCGCATCTATTATAAAAATTGAGTAGATTGAAATTTAAACAAGTTACTTGTTCTTCAGTTATTACCATTATAATTTATTTATCAATGGACATGCGTACAGTACATTCATATGGTCTAGATAGTAAAAATGTTATAGTTATTTGAGTGACAGCGGAGGTCTTCAATATTCGAGGGTGGTTAACGAGACCTAACGTCCCAAATAATTATTAAGTTTTATGCAAGATAGAGATTTTCCAGTTCGAAAATAAAATAACTATACCTATACAGGGTGTATGTACGTTTCAAGTGTTACCACTATTGCTATCGCCGGTAAGAGGGACGCGGCTGGTTAAATTGAAGTTAAATTCACAGGGTTGTCAAATTTTTGTTCATTTCTGAGATTGGTATAATGGAAAATGTAAAAAATTTAATGAATATTTCAAAATCTATCAACTTTAGAAAAGTGTTCAATATTAAAGTTTCAAAATTTCTTCTTCTCTACAAAATGGCGTAATTGTTATCTTCACAAGGCTTTTAGTTGTGTTTACGTTTTCCCTTATATCTTGGAAATGAACAAAAGCTCGGCAACCCTATGAACTTAGCACTAATGGACACTAAATTCGGCTACATTTGTCTAATATAACCTTATATAACCGATCTCGTACCTGTTTTCATTTCAGAGATAGCAATAGTGGTATCACTTAAAACGGACACCCTGTATAAAGGCGCGTGTCCACTGAAAAATTGGCAACTTCTGTATTTGCAACTCTTCCAAAAGTCAGCAACTTTTATTTTCATGGTTGTCCTCACCGATTTTGTTATATGTGGGTGAAGTACTTCAGTAAACCTTATAAGTAATTCTTGTTAATGTTATATTTCTGGGGTTTGTAAGATCAACTTATTGCCTGGAAATGCGTGCGCGGTAAGTTGAATTTACCGCCTCATCAAATCACTTACTTCTCTTCATAGTAAACGGATCACTGCCACTCAATGTGACATGTCCATATAAAATAAAACATCGATGAACTTTTTACATCATCATTTAAAAATATCCATATTAGTCTAAGAGCCAGCGCCGAAAAAAATCTCTGAATTTACTAAAGCTAGTTTTTCGACAGTTGATTACAGTATTCACGTACATACACATACCGCGGTCAGTCAAGCGAAATTTGGGACAAGGGCCCAGGGTGTCTTGTTAAAGGTGTCGAGATAACTTGGGTAATGCAACGAATTTACTAAAGCTGAAAATCGTTATACATATTATATATAACATATAAATAACAGTAGTGTTAGTCAGTCAGTTGAATAGCGGGACCGCGCTGGTCAGTCAGCCCCATTAAATGTAAAAATCTGCAAAAAATATCAATATTACTGAACAAACCTATTAATTTAAACTTTAACCTACAATTTTGAATTGTCACTGTCACGCTGTCACTCTAAAAAAAAAATAGACCTATTATTTTTTTTACATAAATTGGGGCTGAATGACCGGCCCAGTTCCGCTATTCAACTGACTGACAAACATCACTGTTATTTATGTGTCATATATAATGTATAGCGATTTTCAGCCTTAGTAAATTCGTTGCATTACCTAGCTATCTCGACACCCTAGGTCCTTGTCCCAAGTTTCGCTTGACTGACCGAGGTATGTCTATGTACGTAAATACTGTAATCAACTGACCAAAAACTGGCTTTAGTAAATTCAGAGATTTTTTTCGGCACTGGCTCTCCGGCTATATTCCGGCTTCTCGCCCTGTCTAGTATTTCTCAAGGTATTTTTCCTACTTTCCCTTTTTAAGATCTTATTGACTTGGATTTCCAACTATTTCTAGAGTAGTTACTGAGAACACTCCTGCTATGCCATTGTATTATTCTCATATTGATATTGATTATGTGTAACGATTCTTCAATTTGAGCGGGTGTATCCTCTATGTAATATGAAATTTCTGCAACTTGATCAAATTCTAGACTATCTTGTGTGACCTTATGGCATTCTTCTACAAGCCATTGTTTTAATTCCTGTGAGCACGCTGTTTTTTCTATGATTTAAGTGACCCCCCTGGGACAGACACCTTTTATATTTTCCATGATCATTATCCTGTAGGTTACCTTGGTGTTTTTCTTTTGAGGCTGTTGTGTACTACTCAATACACCACTAAATATATCTCTCTGGTTGATATTGATTACGTTGTTCTTCTCCTGTCTGTGCTTAGGGGTTCTCAATATTGGGAGGTCTTTGTGGTCAATTATGTTTTGTTCTGGTCTTGTTTCTTCTTCTTTGGGGAATTTTTGTCTGACCTCGTGATATGAAATATTGTCTGTAGTCATGATTTTCTAATGGCATTCTGCCTTAAAAACTGCTGGCACCTTCTGTCGGTAGTTTTGTGATGTTTCCGTAATAAAGACAAGTGTCACTTCCAGCTTCGCAGGCTGTTTCATCATGTTCTTCTGCACATCTTGCATACCTTTTTTCACTGCGATATTGCTTGGCAGTATGCCTGCTTGTTTCTTAGGCAGTTGGAGCACATCATAACTGGGCTAATATACACATTCACTATTACATCGCAATAATCTATGTTCACTTATCTGGGTATGGTTTTACCTTCAAATGTCAAAATCACAGATTCTGTGTTAATATACCTAATTTCTCCATGTTGAAAGTTTGTACCAAACGAATAGCTGCTTTGTTGTCAACTTATAACATTGGATTTTTTTTTTTGGGGTTATTATTTCTTCATATAGTCTTTTTACCATATAAGTACTTTTGAAGTTTCGCTAGCTGCAACAGTTGTAGGAATGGCAACTGTAGGTGTTCTCTGACTTATTCAGGAATCAGGATATAGCACCTACAGCATAAACACATACCACTCCTGTTGTGGAGCGTCCTGTTTTTATATCCCCTCCATAATCAGCATCACTGAAACCTTCCGCTAAGTAACCTCTTCTGGTTCTTGGCCTGTAAGTGATACCATAATTAAGTCTTCTTTGAATGTAACGGAAAATTCGCTTTACTTGGACAAAGTCTTTGTGAGTTGGATTTTCCAAACTTCTTGACGCCAAACTGACTGCGTATGAAATGTCTGATCTTGATCCTGATATCAGGTAAAGTAATACTCCAACAGCTTTTCTATATGAAAAATTTTATATTTCGACTTCTTCTGAAGGAGAATTATCTTTAACAATTGGAGTTTTGACAGTTCTGCAATTGTTCATACCAAATTTTTTCAACAATTTCTTGGCACATGCCTTTTGATTTATGATAACTGATCCATTTTTTGACTTCATGATTTCCATACCCAAAAAATATGATGCAGGCTTTATCGTGACTTTAAAGTATCTGTAGTTGTCGTAGAAAATAGTTTTTCATTTCTTTGTTGCTTGGGGCTAGTAGACCATCGTATCTGTACCATCATTGAAAACCTCTGGCTGTTTTATGTATACTTCTTCTTGAAGTTCACCATATAAAAATGCTGTACATACATCAAACTGCCTTAGACTTGAATTTTCATTGGCAGGTAGACTCAAAACAGATCGCATTGTAGCAAATCTAGCAATATTTCTTCTGTGAATAACCTTTTGCGACTAGTCTGGCTTTGAATTTATCTATAGAGCCATCTGGATTGTATTTTAACTTGTACACCCATTTATTTGGTATAGCCTTCTTACCATTGGGTAGCTTTTCCTAAAGTCCAAACACAGTTCTCCTCTAGAGATTTCATTTCTCTTCCTATAGCCATGTTCCAGTCATTTGCTCTATTACTTGATATAGCTTCTCGATACTTAATTGGCTCATTTATTTCCATAATGTTTGCAGCAACCATCATAGCGAAATTTTCAAACCTGGTAGGCTTTTGTATCTCATTTCTCTCAGTTGTCTATTCGGTTCATTTGAGACTTCTTCTGAAATGTCATTATCTGCTAAGATGTCAGAACGAGTGACAGAAAAACTGCGATTTCCCAAACTATCATCTTCTTCGGCGTCTTGTCCATTGTTTTCTTTAGTTTCTTGTTCTAGAGTACCTTGCCTACTTCTGACAATCTTACAACTGTTTTGCTAAGAAGTTCCAACAGGATCTTTCAACAATGGCAACATTGAATATCACATCTTTCGATCTGATTAGTTTCTCAGATTCTTCTTCGTTATCCATCATTTTGGTTATATTCTATAAGTATGGCTTACACTGCCTTTTCATCAATTTTCTTTCTTCCTGACTTTGATACATGGGCATAACAGTATGTTCCAATAATTCTCATGTGTTTTAAAGAAGGCTTTTTCCCATACCACAGTTTAAATGAAGATTTTCCTTCGACACTAGAATTACCAATCTTATCCAAAATGTACGCCAATGTATTTATTATATTCCCCACATTTTCCTCACTGTTCCCAGCGGCTGAATCTATCAGCACTGTCTAGACAGTGTCAACTGAAATCCATCTGCACTGTCCAGGCAGTGCCGACTAAAAACCATCTGCAACAGTTTATTTCATTATCATATCATATTATATAAACAGAAATTTTATACGATGACTTATCTATATGTTTGTTTTTAACTGATTTTATAGCATTTCTACTCTTATTTTAGAAAGATTAAAAGTTTTTCTATGTTCTCTGTAAATTGGTCATTTAGAAATGATATTATGGTGAAGAGAATCACTTATAAAAATTCATTATTTCAGGTAATCTCCTGTTCCATCAAAGATCTCACAACAAAGGCCAACAAGCCGAACGACCCTTCAGGTGCGACCTTTGCGAAAAAGACTTCATGTGCAAAGGCCACTTGGTATCGCACAGGCGGTCGCACGGCGGCGAAAAACCCTTCAGCTGCACCGAGTGCAACAAAACCTTCGCCGAAAAGGGCAACTTGGTGCGTCACGGCCGAAAACACGCGGCCGACAGGGAAAAAGCGGAACAAGCTGCGCAAGCCGCTGCTGCACAGCAACAACCCAATCAGAATCCTGTGCAGATGCAACAACAGCCTTCGACCAATGGGAATATTGTGCAGAATGGGCACTTGATTCAGCACCATTCGGTTGTGGTTCCTACTAATGCAAATGTTTTGGCGTCTTACTAGAATTTTGATCAGTTTTGGAACGTTTAATTTTTGCTAGTTCCAAAACTGAATTATTGTGATATAGAAATCCTTTTTTTTTTTAAATGAGTCTAGAGAGTCTTGAATGCTGAAGAAGAAGTGTAAATTTACCAGAACTTTTGCAAAATTTTAATATTGAAGCTAAAGCAGAAACCAGAAGTTTTTAAGTTATCAACAATGCACAAAAGAAAAGTTGTAAGTATATTTTATATTTGATTTCTTTCAAGAATTGGTTAACTGTGTCTACTTGGACAAAGGTTATTATATAAAAAATTTAAGTTGGAAATTCTGAAATCAACAGCCTTCTTTGGGGTTTCAATTTTATCAGTCTCTAGATACATTTATTATGTACCATTTTACCCTAAAATTACTGCCTAAACAAAATTATTTTAACTAGGTTTAATCTTTATACAAAAATTCAAAATTCTAGCCTATTTAAATTGTAATTTTTGGACGATTTTAATTTAAGTGCAATACAGGTGAGTATGCAAAGCAAAAAAAGTGGGAACAATTATCTTTTTTACTCATATCATTTAAGTGTGTTACAAAGCATAGAATTATTACTATAGATTTGTACATATAACTATTTTAGGGCATTGTAAATAGGGTCATTATTGAGTTGAAAGAAATGCAGTATTGTTTGGCCAGTCAATATTTGAAGATTTGATGCCACCTTAATATTCCAAATTTTTTTTCCAACCACTAGAAAATAATTATTGTAAATAACTGTTTAAGGTAAATTTATTTTATTTTATTTTGATTTAATTAAATAACAAACTACATACATCTACGATTAAATTTTTACTCCTCTAAAACCTCATCCACTTCTTCACGATCCACGCTGGCCTTTTTCGGAATAACTGGCACGAAACTACTAGAAGGCACCCCTAAACCCTTAGCCAAAGCCTCAATAACCTCCTTATTGACATAATAAGTCAAAGGTATTTTAATGCCTTCATTTGCAAGAAATTGCCTCAACTCCACTACAAGTTGTTTGCCTTCAGAAAAATTACCTTGCTTGACACAATTGTGAATCATCAAAGCATAAATATCTCCACGACGCACAGAAGCATCCAATTCTGGCCCGTTGAGCATTAGAAGCTGTTTACACTGAGTCATTCCAGCTTGTGGATCGCCTCTTTCAAACGACTTCCTAATGTCAACAAACCTTTTAACCATACTGAATCTTTGCTGTACAATCTCCATGGCTCTTTGAATGTGAGCAGGATTGTCAGTGATTTTTTGCAAACATCTAGAAGCTTCCGTTAAAGCCCCCAAAGCTTTTTCATAATTTTGAAAGTCGTCAATTTCAACTTGGGCGCATGCAACATAGAAGTTTGCAAGCAAATCCAAAGCCTTGCCTTTTGAGTAAAACGTAATAATGTTGCGTAAGATTTCTGGTTTATTTTGCCAGTCTAATGTTTGCAAATAATTTGCGGCCATAATGTAGATTTCGCGTTGTCGCGATACGCCAGCAAAAAAAATGATTTTGTCAGTGTCGCCTGATTTTAAAAGGGCCTTCATTGCTTGGATCTGGAAAAAGGTTTACAGTAAATTGAGCTATGGATTCAGCTGAAACTTACTTTGTCGCCTGCTTGGGTGAACTTCTTTGTGGCCAAATGGTAGTCGCCTTGTAACATTAGACTTTCTGCAAGGGTGTGTAAAACGTTGATTCTTAGTTGCTCGTCTACTTTGTCCTTTTCAGGAGTTAATTTTTCAGTTAGGTCTTCCGTCAGTCGGACGTTGTGGTCAACACATACTTGGATGGCTTCTGAATACTAAAGGACAATATTGTAATTCAAAGAATTGCTCTCAGATCAATTCAGTGGAAATTTTTAGAAGATTTCAATGGATTTTTCTATAGTGTAATAGACGTCAGAATGTTGTGAAGAGTCTGGAATTGCCTACAAGAATCACTATAGGTTACTCTACGATCTGTAAAGATTTTTCAAAGAATATTGTAATTGTGAGTCTCTAGATTTTACATTTAGACAATCTCAGATTTTCTACAAAAGTCTAAAGAAGGCTATCGCTTTAGAAAGAGTCTGTATCATGTTTTGTTGATTAGTAGAAGATTTAAATTGATTATCTGATCTCAAAGATATGTAGATAAAAAGTCTAAAATTGTCTTTTAGAATCAGGAAAGGCTCTAAGATCACCCGAGAAAGAATTTGAATCATGATTCAACAATCCATAGAAAATTTCAGTGGATATTTCTAATCTCACAAACACTATGAATGTGTCAAAAACATATGGGAATTATTATCCACAAAGACCTGTGAGAGATTTAACCTTCTCTTCAGAAAGAGCTCTATCATCTATTAATCTGTGGGAGGTTATGAACGGATTATTCTGATCTGGGTGTCTATACTCGTAACTGGGAAACAACGTTTCCACGAGAACGATTGCTCTGTCTTATGGTCTATGGAAATATAAATATGGAGGACTAAGACAGCATAATGGAAATATAAATATGGACGACTAAGAACTAATGGACTAAAGATTCTAAAATGTCTTGAAAATACGTAGAAAGTCTAAAATTGTCTATACAAATTTGTAGGAGGCTCTAAGATCACCTGAAAAAGAGTTCAATCCTGTTTCAATAATCTGTAGAAAATTTCAATGAACTTTTCTAATCTCACTAACTGTATGAATGTGTCATAGACATATAGAAATTATCTACAAAGATCTGTAAAATACTAACATTTCTCTAGAAAATCATCTATCTTCTTCAGAAGGTTTGGATAGATTATTCTAATCTGAAAGTTGAAGAGTGTCTCAAAAGTATGTAAAAATTCTATTAGAATCAAGAAGAGGCTTGATGTTTACCCCAGAAAGACTTTGAATTATGTTTCAACAATACATAGAAGATTTCAATACATTTTTCCAAACTCACAGATTCTATATAAATGTGTCAAAATTATATGGAAATTGTCTACAAAAATCCTTAAAAGACTTTGGCATTTCCCTAGAAAAAGGTGTACGTATCATCTATTAACAATGTAGAGAAAACTCGAATAGATTATTCCAATCTGAAAGCTGGAGAATGTCTCAAAAATATGTTAGAAGTCTAAAATTGTCTATTAGAATCAGGCAGAGGTGCGATCACTCCAGAATCAGTTTGAATCATGTGGAAGATTTCCAATCTCAAAGATTCTATGAATGTGTTTACAAGAATATTTTGTCTACGAAGATCTGTAAAAGACTTCAATATCCACCTAGAAAAAGGTATGGGTATCATTTATCAACAATGTTGACAAAATTCAAATAGATTTTTCCAATCTGAAAGCTGCAGAATGTCCCAAAAGTACGTAAGAAGTTTAAAATTGCCTATTAGAATCAGCAGGAGGCTCTAAGATCACCCCAGAAAGAGTTTGAAGAATCTGTTTGAAGATCTGTAAAAGATTTAACCATCAATTTAGAAAGCTGTATCATCTGTGGGAGGTTTCAATGGATTCTTTTGATCTTAAATGTCTTGAAAATAAGTAGAAAGTCTTTGGAATTTTTCAATAATATTTCCAGGAATCTGAGCAATTTGAAACTTTAAGGAATTCATAAATAAAGTATTTTCTTCAATCGAAACAAATCTGAAATCAATCTGAGCCTCAGAAATAGAGTTATCAATTCTTTAAAAAATATTTGTTAAATTCTTTAACAAATCAGCTTTTGAATTTTTTCAAAAATACTTCCAGGAATCTCAACAACTTGAAACTTTCAGGAATTCATAAATAAAGTATTTTCTTGAAATACAGCAAATCTGAAGTCAATCTGAGCCTCAGAAATGGAATTATGAAATATTTAATAAATCCTTGTATAATTCTTAGCAAATCAAATTTGGATTTCTTTCAAAAATACTTTTAGGAATCTGAGCAACTTGAAACTTCTAGGAATTCATAGTTAAAGTTTTCTCTTCAAACACAACAAATCTGAAGTCAATCTGAGCCTCAGAAATAGAGTTATTAATTTAAAAAAAATCCTTGTAAAATTCTTAACAAATCAACTTTGGAATTTTTCAAAAATACTTTCAGGAATCTGAGCAATTTGAAACTTTAAGGAATTCATAAATAAAGTCTTTTCTTTAACCTCAACAAATCTGAAGTCAATCTGAGCCTCAGAAATAGAATTATGAATTTTTTAGAAAATCCTTGTAAAATTTTCAACAAATCAACTTTGGAATTTTTTCAAAAATATTTTCAGGAATCTGAGCAACTTGAAACTTCCAGGAATTTATATCTTAAGTCAATCTGAGTCTCAGAAGTAGAGTTATGAATTTTTTAAAAAATCCTTGAAAAATTCTTAACAAATCAACTTTGAAATTTTTTCAAAAATACTTCCAGAGAATCTAAGCATTGTGCAACTTGAAACTTTCAGGAATTCATAAATAAAGTATTTTCTTGAAATACAGCAAATCTGAAGTCAATCTGAACCTCAGAAATAGAATTATGAAGTTTTTAGAAAATCTTTATAAAATTCTTAACAAATCAACTTTGGAATTTTTTCAAAAATACTTTCAGGAATCTGAGCAATTTGAAACTTCAAGGAATTATTTAATAAAGTATTTTCTTCAAACACAACAAATCTGAAGTCAATCTAAGCCTCAGAAATAGAGTTATGAATTTTTTAAAAACTCCTTGTAAAATTCTTAACAAATCAACTTTGCTCTAAGATCACATGAAAAAGAGCTCAATAATCTGTGAAGATTTCAATGGATTTTTCCAATCTCACAAACTCTATGAATGTGTCAAAAGCATATGAAAATTATTATCTACAAAGAACTGTGAAAGATTTGACAATCTCCTTAGAAAGCGCTATATATTATCTATCAACAATCTGTGGGAGGTTTGAATGGATTAATCCAACCTGGAAGATTCTAGAATATCTCAAAAGTATGTAAAAAGTGTAAAATTGCTTCTTAGAATCGGTAGAAGATCAATCCAGAGAGAGTTTGAATCTGTAGAAGATTTTAATTCTAATGTAAAATGTGCTAAAAGCATATGGAAGGTATGAAATTATCTACAAAGACATATAAAGAGCTCCACCATCACCCTAGAAACAGCTTGATTATGTTCCAATAATCTGTAGAAAATTTAAAAAGATTTTTCCGGTCAGAAAGACAAGAATGTCTCAGAAGTAAATAAAATCTGTAGAACAACGGTACGATCACGGCAGAAAACGTTTGTATTATGTTTTGACGGTCTATAGAAAATTCCAATGAATTTTTTTAGTCTGATCTGATTCTAGAATGGAATGTACCAAAACCACAAAATTTTATAAAGTCACACCTAGTTTGTATGTTTCTACATTCTGTATAGAAGGTTGCAAAGGGTTATTGATGTAACTCTTCATTAGAATGTGAATGTAGAAGCTTCAAATTTCCTACAAAAATCTATTGAAAAATTTAAGATACCTACTTTATCATAATGTAACAATCTGTAGAATGCTTCAATAGATTATTCTAATCTGAATGACTCTACGTGTAAATAAGTTTTCTTACCTTTTTGGCAATACCCAAAAGATCAACAGCCTTATCAAATTGCTCTTCATTGATAAAATATTGAGCGCATTTATCAATTAAGGCCGGATCAGAATCAGCATCCAATTGCGTAGCAATTTCTTGCAGTATATCAAACTGCTGAGTCTTAAAAGCCAAATCTAAAGCCTTATGCAACATTCCGCCTCTATGATACAGCACAACAGCATTTTCTAAATTATTTTGTTCCTCGAAATATTTGGCAATTTCGATTTTGTCCCGATTGGAAACCGTTAGGCCCAAACTCCACAGCTCGTCACTTAAATTGTGCTCTTTAGCTAAACGCACTGCATTGGAATACGCTGTTGCCCTTATATAAAAGTCAACAGCCTCTTGGATTTGGCCAATGGTTTCGTAGTAGCGGGCCATGTGGTAGAAGGCAGCTTTGTCCGAGCTGGCCTTTGCCAACTCGGCTGCTCGAGTTTCTTCGTTTAGGAAACACAAAACTCGCACTTGCGAGTAGACGTCGCCGGCGGTCGAGTAGATTTTTAGGGCGGCGGACATTTCGCCTTGGGATTCTACGTATTGGCCCCACCATTTTAGCATTTCTCTGGAAAATTGGAAAATGATGAAGTTTTTGTAATTTGTGAGGTAAGTACAAGAAAAAATAATGTTAAATTAACGCAATTAAACTTGAAATAAACCCAATTAAATTCTTTACAATTTACAAATCCCTACTCCAATTTTCCATAAATTCCTCGAAATTTTCTACAAATTCCTCTAAATTCCCCACAGTTTCGGCAAAGAATTCCTAGGTGGTTTGCCCCTGTGGCTATGAACCGAAAATTTTATGAACACCTGCAAACATTGTCGGGTTTTTCAGATTCAAAAAAATAGCTATTTATACAATAAGTTGCGAAATGAGTGTCTTTTAGGCACGCGACGTGAAAATTGTCCAACGAGGCAAAGCCGAGTTGGACAACACGTCGAGTGACTAAAAGATTTCGTTTCGTAACGTATTGTATACAAGATTTTTTCTACTGACGTTTCATAATAAAAAAACACAATTTTATTTCAATATTTGTCGCCTGCTTTTGCTTGACACCTTTCATGTTGGTGACTAATATTCATAATAAATACAAAACAAAATTCAAATTTGCATTTAGTGTGTTTTTTATTTCTGAACAATGAATAACACTTTTAGGCACTAGTGCTTAAAAGTTACTTTTACGCACTTGAAAGTCGCTTTTACGCATTTGAAAGTCACTTTTACGCACTGGAAAGTCACTTTTACGCACTGAGTGCCTAAAAGTCACTTTTACGCACTGAGTGCTCAAAAGAATGTCATTTCAAAACTAAAATGACAATCGAAAAGTTGCTATTATGAAACGTCAGTAGAAAAAAGGAATTTTCAATATCGTTAAAAATGAAGCAAAGATCACGTATAAAAAGGCATATGAACTTAAAAAAAAAGTTCACCATACCAGCATAAGCGCAACTAGGCTCCAAATTTGAGGGGTACTACAGCACCATTTTTTTTTTTATGATGGGGTTTCATGGAAAGGAAATGAGACGCGTAAAAAAAGTTAGTTTCACAAGGGTTTGTACTTACGTTATCATTTGCCTTTTTTTTGAAAAATAGGTTTTTTTAAAAAATAGGTTTTTTTATGTCTGAAATTTCAAACAAACATATAGTTTGTTGCATGAGTTACATACGGCTCTACATTGTATATTTTATTTAATCAGTATATTATTTTTCATTAGCTTGCATTCTGTATTCTCTTTTTGTAGCTTCTACTTGCCGAGCGTCGTCAGTCAGAGCTTTGCATTCACTTTCGACGCTTAGAATTTTAATAAATTTTAAACGTAAAAATATTGTAATAGTTTTAAGTGAAATAAATTTGTTTTTAAAAAATCGTACATCGCGTACTGATTTGTAACTGGCGCAGTCGGTAGGATAGTCAGGAATCAATACATCGAGTATCGATTTATCGTGAAACGGTCAACTGGCTATCCAAAAGAACTTACGGTTCGGGATTTTGATTGAACATCAGAAACTTTCGACCGTGACTACGGAAAGTGTTCGTGTGCGTAAAGCAATTAATTGGGGATTGTTTCGCGACGGCATTTTGAGAATTGATAACAAACTCTATCAAATCTGCGAGGACTTAGTGCTTTTGGACTTGGATTACAAAATTGCCACCAGAGGACTGAGGCCTTATAGTACCACCTAGACATAAGAAGAAAACTCTATGGCACGAAAATTGATAGCATATTTTATGTAAGTGCAATTTGTAAATGTCTGATTTGGACGATTTAATTAACTCTTTTGAAAGTATTGAGATAAACGATAATAGCTCTGACTCCGCTTCAAATACAGAAGTGTTAACTGATCAATCTAATAATCAATTAGAAACTGAAGGTAATATTGATCAAGTAGAAAGTGAAAATAATATTTTACCTATTGATAGCTCAAACTTAGATTTAACTGCTTTTGCACAAACTATAACGCTTTTGCGAAGTCAACAAAATTTAAACTTTTCTCCTTTAAATATTGCTACAGTAAATTTACCAGTAACTATGGCTCAATTTAAACCCGAATATTTAAGTTGTGTCCCAAAATTCGAGGGAAACCCTTGCGAGCTAAACAGATATTTAGCGACTTGCAAATCTCTCATAGATAATTTTTATGATACTGTAAATGTAAATTGTTTCCAAAATATATTTTTAATAAACTCTCTTATAGGTAAACTTTCTGGCAATGCTAGATTAGTGGTTAATGTTCAGAATGTCTCCACCTGGGACGGTCTAAAAAATACATTGACTAGACATTTCGCGGACAGACGCGACGAGTCTTGTTTGAATAGAGACCTTGTTTTAACCAAACAAAATGCTAATGAGACCCCTCAATCTTACTATGATAGAATTCTCGAATTACTTAATTTACTCTGCAGTTACGTAGATGCTCACGACGATGTGGCTACTGCCCAAATAAAACGAAATTTGTATACAGAACTTGCTTTAAAAACATTCTTGGCCGGTTTAAGAGAACCTTTAGGCAACACAATTCGTTGTATGTCACCAAAAGATTTAGCTGATGCCATACAACTTGTTATTCGAGAGAATAACACAAAATATTTCCAAAATCAACCCAATCACAATAATAGCAATGCAAATCATACAAAACCAAAACCTCAACAACATCAATTTCGATTTAATGGTCCAACCAGAAATTTTGGTTATAATAACTATACACCAAATCAGTTTAAGCAGCCCTTTCCGTCACAACCTATCAATATTAGACCTAATGCAAACATCCGCCCACAAAAATTCTTTTCTAACTCCCAAGTTTTTGGTAAACCAAAACCAACAAACGTATTCAGACAAAATCCTGGAAAAATCTTGCCAAAGCCCACACCAATGTCAGGTGTAAGTTTCCAAAACACCCAAAATTTCACACCAGTGGCTCAAGCATCAAATTTTCAGCAACCACAACAACAGTACCAGCAACAGCCCAAATATGCATTTGAAGAATTATTTACTACAGAACTAGATCCAACTTCTGAAGAATATCAATACAGTTAATCAAACGTCATCAATCAAACGTACCCCGAAAATAATGCAAATTATGATGAACAGCAGATCTATAACCCCGAAAATTCTTATTATTATTATGCTGACCCAGCACAGATAAATTATACAAATGAAACTCAAGAAGAACCGACCACATCAAATCAGGCTGTGGAATCAAATTTTCAGGAATCAGCCGAAGACAATCAGAATATTTGACGGAATCGCCCCCAGTGATTTCATTAAATTTAAACAACACCAGTGAACTCTCATACATAGTGTTTCCTGAATACAACGTCAAAATTTTAATTGATTCAGGTTCCACGAAATCTTTTATTGACCCAAATATAGCATTTAAATTATTTCCGAATTTCGTTATTAACGATCCTTTCATCGTTAGTACGGTATTCCAGAAATCAGCCCATAAATATAGTGCTAACATACCAGCACCTAAAATATTTAATTTACCCAAAAAAGGAAAACTCAAATTTTACCTATTCAAATTCCATAACATTTTTGATGGTTTGATAGGCCTTGACAATTTAAAATTATTACAAGCAAATGTTGATTTTAATAGTGGTTACCTTATTACGCCCTATGCAAAGATCAAATTAAAATATCAACAAACACAAAACGAACTTAATTGCATTAACATCTATAAAAAATGGCGAAATTATTGTTCCCTATATGAAATTACACAATATTGAAATACCCGAATCACTAACAATCGCAAAAGATGGCTATGCAATAATTGCAATAACAACAATCTTAAATAACTCTTGCGAGCCAATTACTTTAGATTTTTCAGAACAAATAGAAGTAGACCCTTTTGAAAGAAATAATATCGAGATGATAGATTTAAATAATTTTGACGAATCACCCAAACAAAGACTAGATTTATCAAAAATTCGTGTTGATCATCTTAATGATGAAGAAAAATACAAAACTTTGGAACTGTGTGAAGAATTTTCAGATATTTTCTATCAAGAAAATACACCTCTATCTTTCACTAGTAACTTGAAACATCATATACAAACGACAGATGAGACTCCAATTTATACTAAAACTTACAGATACCCGTTCATCCATCGCCAAGAAGTAAGAAATCAAATAGAAAAAATGTTAGATCAAAAAATTATAAGACCTTCAAATTCTCCCTGGTCCTCACCAATTTGGGTGGTACCAAAAAAATTAGATGCTACAGGAAAGCAAAAATGGCGTGTAGTCGTGGACTACAGAAAACTGAACGAAAAGACAATCGATAACAAATACCCGCTACCAAATATCACGGATCTTTTAGACAAATTAGGTAGATGCCAGTATTTTACAACATTAGACCTTGCATCAGGCTTTCACCAGATTGAAATGAATGAAGCCGACATACAAAAAACGGCCTTCAACACTGAAAATGGGCACTACGAGTACCTTAGGATGCCCTTCGGTCTGAAGAATGCGCCTGCTACCTTTCAAAGCATAATGGATTCAATTTTAAGGGGTATTCAAAATGAAAAATGTTTGGTATACCTAGATGATATCATTATTTTCTCGACATCCTTACAGGAACATCTAAATAACTTGAGAAATGTTTTCCAACGGCTACGTGACTCTAATTTCAAGATCCAGCTTGATAAAAGCGAATTTTTGCGTCGCGAAGTCGCATACCTGGGTCATATTGTGACGCCAGAGGGAGTCAAACCAAACCCCGATAAAATTAAAGCAATTAAGCAGTATCCGATACCGAAGACTACAAAGCAAATTAAAGGATTCCTAGGACTGTTAGGCTACTACCGGAGATTTATTAACAATTTTGCAAAAGTTACGAAACCTCTCACCAAATGTTTGAAGAAAGGCGCTAAAATCAATCATGACGAAGAATTTATTAACTGTTTCAAAATGTGCAAAAATTTACTAACAAATGAACCCATACTCCAGTATCCTGACTTTTCAAAACCTTTTAATTTGACAACAGACGCGAGTAACTTGGCCTTAGGAGCAGTACTTTCCCAAGGGCCAATTGGACAAGATTTACCGATCGCCTATGCCTCACGCACGCTCAACGACTCTGAGTGCAACTATTCTACGATAGAAAAGGAATGTTTGTGTCTTGTTTGGGCAACCAAATATTTCCGCCCTTATCTCTATGGCAGAAAATTTAACATCATTACAGACCACAAACCGCTTCAATGGCTTTTTTCAGTTAAAGAACCAACTTCAAAATTACTTCGCTGGAGAATAAGACTAGAAGAATTTAACTATCGAATTATTTACAAGAAAGGAAAATTAAACACAAATGCGGACGCCCTATCGAGAATAGAAATTCATACTAAAGAAACAACAGAAAATATTTTTGATCTGCAAAAATATGTAGAAGACGTAACTAAAAATTTAGAGGACAACAACCACCAAAATAATGACGAAATTCCTAGCACAAGTCACGAAAATATGGATCAAATATCAGTTGTAGCATAACCGGACAATGACCCACCAGAAATCGCGCAAGATGCCGATGATGCAACTATCCATACAAACGCCGACCAAAACCCTGTAGTAGGAGTACCTATTATTGAAACAGCTGTCAATTATAGTTCTAATCAAATAATATTGCAGCAGGTACACCACTCACCAGCAAGAGCGAAAATAATTGTACTATTTAACAAGAAACGTAGAATAATAGTACAACTATCGCAGGAAAATTTCGAGGAAGACATCATGAAATTTATCAAAGAATTAATAGTGCCAAATAAACCATACCACCTGTACTTTGAAAATCCAGAGGCTTATGAACCATTTTGCCGAGTCATCAAGAACAATTTTAAATGGCCCTCCTTACAATTTAAAAGATGTACTTCAAAACTACTCGACGTTACCAACAAAAATGATATTAAAGAAATCATACAAAATTACCACGAAAGCAAGTCAAACCACCGCGGCATAGAAGAAACAGTTCAAAGATTAAAAACAAAATATTACTGGCCCGATCTTAAAAGTTCCGTCCAATCTTACATTAACGAATGCGAAATTTGTATTCGTAGTAAATATGAACGTAACCCAGTAAAGATTCCAATGAACGTTACACCCACGGCATCAAGGCCCTTTGAAATTATTCACCTTGATACCTACACTCTAGAAAAAAGTAAATTCCTCACCATCGTCGACAGTTTTTCCAAATATGCGCAAGCATATCCACTTAAATCACTAGCTGCTACTGAAATTGCAGACAGTCTTCTAAGTCATTTTTCTCATCATGGAATTCCAAAACAAATAATTGTAGACAACGGTACAGAGTTTAAAAATACCATAGTGACAGAATTACTGTCCCTACACAAAATAAAAGTTCACTTTTGTTCGCCTTATCACCCGGAATCGAATGGTATCGCCGAGCGTTTCCATTCAACCCTTTCAGAGCACATCAGATTGCTTAACAATCAAAATTTCGCTAACGCAACCATACAAAATAAAATTGTATATGCCGTTCTGGCTTATAATCATACAATTCACTCTACAACCAACCTTAAACCCATTGATGTTGTGCAAGGAGATATTACATCAAATGATACTTTTAATTTAAAATTAGATCAATTAATTTTATCAGATTATATAAATGAACATAAAGAAAAAGCAAAAGTTCTTTATGCGCAATTGAACGAAAAATTAATGGCTAAGAAAGAACACTTAACTACAAAAATTAATGTGAATAAAGACAACCCAGAAATATTTGAACCAAACCAAACAGTATTTACGAAAAAACACATACGACAGAAAAACGCTGACAAATTCAATAAGCCGACCAAAATAGTAAATGTCGACACAGCTAAAAAGACAGCAAAACTCGAATCTCAAGAAAAGATTCACTTGTCAAACATAAAACGTCCATTAAAAAATAAATATAGCTTTGACTAATTGCTATATTCTCTTTTCAGGATACTACAAGTATCAATTGCCCTTGAAGACAAAATTCAATTAGAAAAAATCGCTGATAATCCTGGACTATTGCCAATTAAATTAGGACAAGCCAAACTAGAAGAATATTCATTTACGCTAATTCATTTTTATGACCTCAATCCAATCCTAAATGAAGTCAACAAACTTCAAGAAAAATCAAAAAACTTGACCGATAACGTAAATACGCACGCAGAATATAAGATCGAAACTAGTAATTATATAAAAATACTATTCTTAATTCAAGACCGTGTTGAAACAAAATTAAAAGAATTAATTCCACACCCACAACGCACAAGACGCGGGCTTATTAATGCAGTCGGATCAATTTTCAAAACAATTACTGGTAACCTAGACGCATCAGATGGAGAACGTTATGAACAACTAATTGAAAATTTACAGAGTAATCAAATTGAAATAAAATCAAAAGCCTTAAAGGAAAATGCCATTTCGATTAAGCTGATTGAACAATTTAATAAAACTATTCAACAAATTGGGAAAAACGAGAACTTACTCGAATCCAAATTAAACCAGATTAGTTTAATTGTACAAAAAGGCACTTTCCGAGAAAATGCTAATATTATTAAAGATACTCTCAATCAAATAATTAATTTATACGAAATCATTGACTCAATACTGCAAGATGTAGAAAACGCAGTTACCTTTTCGAAACTGAAAATACTACATCCGAGTATCATAAAAACTGAAAATCTATATTTTGAGTTGCAAAGAATCCAAAAAATTGTGAATGCGAAAAGTATGCCCTTAGAGGTTACTCTAGCTAATACATTGTTATACGAGAAATTAGTAAAAATAGAAAGTTTTATTTTAAACAATAAAATTACCTTTCTAATTCGATTTCCTATCGCTTATCAAAATAATTTCGACTATTATCATTTATACTCAATACCAATTTACAAACAAAATAAATTCAAAACAATCATTCCAAAAAGTAAATTCTTGGTAAAAAACAAATTGCACTTCTCATATCGATCTACGGAGTGCCAGGAAATCCAGAACCAGTACTATATCTGTGACAAAATGGATCTCACAGAAATCACAACCAAAAATCCATGTGCAATCCAATTATTGGAATCAAGTAACCAAGTCCAATCATGTCAACAAATCGAAGTTAGGATTTCGATCCCAATAGTCAATCAATTGGACCTCTCAAATAAATGGATCATAATTATTCCCAAAGAAGAAACAGTCAAAATGGAATGCAGCGACCAAGAAGAATATCAAAAATTATTTGGTACATATTTTGCCGAAATCCCAAAAAATTGCAAACTAACTAATCACAGCAATCAAGAAGTGATTATAAACAACGCACACGTAGGCCAAACAAAAACCCAGCCTATATTATTTCCTGATTTGAATAATCAAGAAGAACTACTACTGCCAACACTTAACTTGAGTGTTCATCTAGATGACCTGAAATTAGATGACCTCCAAAAAATCGAAAACCAAATTAAGGACAATCAACTTAATTTTACACCGTTTCCCGGAATCGTCGAAGCCCCAAATATTTGGACTATCTTCATTTACCTACTAATGGTAATTTTCGTCAGCTACTGCACCTACAAGAAACTGACTCAACTTAGACGAAGACCACGAAGAGCTCAAGAAGCCAATCCAGAAGACCCAATCCAAGAACCAATTATTCAACTACCCCTTCAACATGTTTAGTTGAATCTAATGAGGGAGGAGTTACATACGGCTCTACATTGTATATTTTATTTAATCAGCATATTATTTTTCATTAGCTTGCATTCTGTATTCTCTTTTTGTAGCTTCTACTTGCCGAGCGTCGTCAGTCAGAGCTTTGCATTCACTTTCGACGCTTCGAATTTTAATAAATTTTAAACGTAAAAATATTGTTATAGTTTTAAGTGAAATAAATTTGTTTTTAAAAAATCGTACATCGCGTACTGATTTGTAACTCGTGCTTAGCACCCTCAAGCACCCCCCCTAGTTGCGCCTATGCATACCAGAGATTAACATCTTCTTTCTCTTATCTACTAACTACTCACTTATCTTGTGTCCTGCTCATATAAGCCACCAATTGTTGCGGATTTTCGCTCAACATCCTAGGAATATCGTACCGATGTGTCCCTGCCTTCTCAAACCGCACAGCCGCTTCCTTAAAATTCCCACTTTTCTCCAACTGCTTGGCCCAAGCATACTCAGTATTCCTCAAGTTAATCCTATCCTTGCTTTGGGCCAATTCGTGCGCTTCTTCCATTTTATTTCTGCACCTGAGTAACTTGTTCAATAGATCGTATCTCTCGGCTTGTACATACAATTGCTCAGCTTCCTCTAGTAAACCCAAATGTATTGCTAGCACAGCTATTTTGCATTCTTGTGACAGAGTTTCGTCTTGAATTGCTGTGCGTAGGGCTGCAGCTGCTTTGGCGTTACCCATATGGCCTAAGCATACCATAGCTACATCTAAGCGTTGAGTTTTGACGCACATTTTAGCTAAACTTGCCCAAACTCCTTGACTTTGGACTAATTTTATTGATTTAAAGGCTGCGTCCATGTTGCCTAGGCTCAAATGGTAACTAAAATCAAGTACAGCTTGTTTGGTTGTTGAATTGCAATTTTCTAATCCACTAAAGTCGCTCATGATTTCACGCACTATGCTGAGTTTTTGTAAAGTAACTGTGTAAGGTATTGAGAGGCCTAAAAGCCTTGCTTCAGAATCTATTGCCTTAATATCGTGGATTTTTATTTTGTTTTCTGGCAGAATAAACATTGTGACAACTATTTGATCTTCTTCGCTTAAAGTTTTGGCAAATATTTTCTTGGTATTTTTCTTTAGTTTTCTGGCATTGCATATTAGTAATCGTTGATCTTCTTGGCACCAATGTACTGATAAGGGGATGCGGTTTTTGCAAATTTCATCATACGATGTAGTTGCTTCATCAAAATACTCATACTTTTTGAAATCGTAAGTGACTATTTCGTCAGATTCTATGTCCAATATGTAAAGTTTTCCATCTGGGATTAGATTAGAGGCTGCTAGGGTAAAGGCCACTTTGTTGCCTTTGGAGTTAGTTTTGGCCTGGATTACTTCGCCGAAATCTTCAATGCAGTCCATTAAACTTTTAATTGGAGTAATTAGTTTTGGGTGATTTTCGTCGGCTAAATCGTAAATTTTCAGGTAACCCTCCATAGTGGCTATTGTCAAGTAATTATTTGTAACATCTACTCCAATAGGCTCACCTTCACTCATAGTTGAAGTAATATGGAATATTATACTACCATTATAAGTGTATAATGTTACCTTTTCTGAGCTTAAACTTATTATGGTTTTTTCATGTAGAATTATACCGTCGTTGTCGCAATGGAAGTTGTTACTGTAAGTTACCGTAAACTCATCTGATTCGTCTGGAAATCAATTTTTTTGGAATCAAGTTTTCAAATAATCAATTTCTTATACCTTTTTGGTTTGCTAACCAACTGATATTGTAAACAGTGACAATCCTGCCATTTGAAAACACTACAAAATCCTCAGAAATAGCCATATCACTGACTTGTGATTCCAACTCCAATAATTTGTTACTCTTATTGGATTCAATCCAGATTTGATTTGTGGTTTTCTGAGTAGCCCATATTTTACTAGAGAATGCTGTACAAACCTGAAAATAAATCAGAGTTTCAACTCTAGGAAATCATTGGCAATTTATTCTTACGGTTTGTTCCTTCATAATATAAATAGAAGTCACACAGTTGACGCTGAGCAAAGGTAGCCTCATCATAAAAGAGCCCCATTTCAATTGCTTGATTGTACCACCGATATTGTTGATGTTGTTCAATTCCCATTGGTCTTCGACATTTTCGCTTAATAAATGAGGATTCTTTGTCCAAAAATAAATGTTTCCTGAAACAATTTAACTATTTAGAATAACCAAATAATGTTTGAATAATTGGGAAATGGTCAAGAGCCAAGCCACTTATAGTCCAAATTTTAATTATTATTGGCTCTTGAATTCATGGAAAACTTCTTCGAGAGTAACTCAAGAGCCGAGAATAGTTAAAATGTTGATTTTTACATACACTTGTGACAATATTTATGTTCAAGTGTGGTTTTCCATATTCGCCTAAGCAATTCTTCATCAAGATTTGGACAAAATCAGCGAATCAAGAGTCACTTATAGTCCAAATTTTGATTGTTATCGGCTCTTGAATTCATAAAAAACTTCTTCAAAAGCAACTCAAGAGACGAGAATAGTTGAATTTTTCTACTTTTACACACACTTCTGACAATATTTGTGGTTTTCCATATTCGCCTAAGCAATTCTTCATCAAGATTGGGACAAAATCAGCGAATCAAGAGTCACTTATAGTCCAAATTTTGATTGTTATCGGCTCTTGAATTCATAGAAAACTTCTTCAAAAGCAACTCAAGAGCCGAGAATAGTTAAATTTTGGACTTTTACACACATTTTTGAGAATATTTGTGGTTTTCCATATTCGCCTGAGCAATTCTTCATCAAGATTTGGACAAAATCAGCGAATCAAGAGCCACTTATAGTCCAAATTTTGATTGTTATCGGCTCTTGAATTCATAGAAAACTTTTTCAAAAGCAACTCAAGAGCCGAGAAAAGTTAAATTTTGGACTTTAACACACATTTTTGACAATATTTGGGGTTTTCCATATTCGCCTGAGCAATTTTACATCAAGATTTGGACAAAATCAGCGAATCAAGAGCCACTTATAGTCCAAATTTTGATTGTTATCGGCTCTTGAATTCATAGAAAACTTTTTCAAAAGCAACTCAAGAGCCGAGAATAGTTAAATTTTGGACTTTAACACACATTTTTGACAATATTTGGGGTTTTCCATATTCGCCTGAGCAATTTTACATCAAGATTTGGACAAAATCAGCGAATCAAGAGCCACTTATAGTCCAAATTTTGATTGCTATCGGCTGTTGAATTCATAGAAAACTTCTTCGAAAGCAACTCAAGAGCCGAGAATAGTTAAATTTTGAACCTTCACACACACTTTTGACAATATTTGTGGTTTTCCATATTCGCCTGAGCAATTCTTCATCAAGATTTGGACAAAATCAGTAAATCAAGAGCCGCTTATAGTCCAAATTTTGATTGTTATGGGCTCTTGAATTCATAGAAAACTTCTTCAAAAGCAACTCAAGAGCCGTGAATAGTTAAATTTTGGACTTTTACACACACTTTTGACAATATTTGTGGTTTTCCATATTCGCCTGAGCAATTCTTCATCAAGATTTGGACAAAATCAGCGAATCAAAAGCCACTTATAGTCCAAATTTTGATTGTTATGGGCTCTTGAATTCATAGAAAACTTCTTCGAAAGCAAATCAAGAGCCGAGAATAGTTAAATTTTGAACCTTCACACACACTTTTGACAATATTTGTGGTTTTCCATATTCGCCTGAGCAATTCTTCATCAAGATTTGGACAAAATCAGTAAATCAAGAGCCGCTTATAGTCCAAATTTTGATTGTTATGGGCTCTTGAATTCATAGAAAACTTCTTCAAAAGCAACTCAAGAGCCGTGAATAGTTAAATTTTGGACTTTTACACACACTTTTGACAATATTTGCGGTTTTCCATATTCGCCTGAGCAATTATTCTTCATCAAGATTTGGACAAAATCAGCGAATCAAGAGCCACTTAAAGTCCAAATTTTGATTGTTAACGGCTCTTGAATTCATAGAAAACTTCTTAGAAAGCAACTCAAGAGCCCAGAATAGTTAAATTTTGGACTTTTACACACACTTTTGTCAATATTTGTGGTTTTCCATATTCGCCTGAGGAATTCTTCATCAAGATTTGGACAAAATCAGCGAATCAAGAGTCACTTAAAGTCCAAATTTTGATTGTTACTGGCTCTTGAATTCATGGAAAACTTCTTCAAAAGCAACTCAATAGCCGAGAATAGTTAAATTTTGGACTTTAACACACATTTTTGACAATATTTGGGGTTTTCCATATTCGCCTGAGCAATTTTACATCAAGATTTGGACAAAATCAGCGAATCAAGAGCCACTTATAGTCCAAATTTTGATTGTTAACGGCTCTTGAATTCATAGAAAACTTCTTAGAAAGCAACTCAAGAGCCCAGAATAGTTAAATTTTGGACTTTTACACACACTTTTGTCAATATTTGTGGTTTTCCATATTCGCCTGAGGAATTCTTCATCAAGATTTGGACAAAATCAGCGAATCAAGAGCCACTTAAAGTCCAAATTTTGATTGTTACTGGCTCTTGAATTCATGGAAAACTTCTTCAAAAGCAACTCAATAGCCGAGAATAGTTAAATTTTGGACTTTAACACACATTTTTGACAATATTTGGGGTTTTCCATATTCGCCTGAGCAATTTTACATCAAGATTTGGACAAAATCAGCGAATCAAGAGCCACTTATAGTCCAAATTTTGATTGCTATCGGCTGTTGAATTCATAGAAAACTTCTTCGAAAGCAACTCAAGAGCCGAGAATAGTTAAATTTTGAACCTTCACACACACTTTTGACAATATTTGTGGTTTTCCATATTCGCCTGAGCAATTCTTCATCAAGATTTGGACAAAATCAGTAAATCAAGAGCCGCTTATAGTCCAAATTTTGATTGTTATGGGCTCTTGAATTCATAGAAAACTTCTTCAAAAGCAACTCAAGAGCCGTGAATAGTTAAATTTTGGACTTTTACACACACTTTTGACAATATTTGTGGTTTTCCATATTCGCCTGAGCAATTCTTCATCAAGATTTGGACAAAATCAGCGAATCAAAAGCCACTTATAGTCCAAATTTTGATTGTTATGGGCTCTTGAATTCAGAGAAAACTTCTTCGAAAGCAAATCAAGAGCCGAGAATAGTTAAATTTTGAACCTTCACACACACTTTTGACAATATTTGTGGTTTTCCATATTCGCCTGAGCAATTCTTCATCAAGATTTGGACAAAATCAGTAAATCAAGAGCCGCTTATAGTCCAAATTTTGATTGTTACTGGCTCTTGAATTCATGGAAAACTTCTTAGAAAGCAACTCAAGAGCCGAGAATAGTTAAATTTTGGACTTTTACACACATTTTTGAGAATATTTGTGGTTTTCCATATTCGCCTGAGCAATTCTTCATCAAGATTTGGACAAAATCAGTAAATCAAGAGCCGCTTATAGTCCAAATTTTGATTGTTATGGGCTCTTGAATTCATAGAAAACTTCTTCGAAAGCAAATCAAGAGCCGAGAATAGTTAAATTTTGGACTTTTACACACACTTTTGCCAATATTTGTGGTTTTCCATATTCGCCTGAGCAATTATTCTTCATCAAGATTCGGACAAAATCAGCGAATCAAGAGCCACTTATAGTCCAAATTTTGATTGTTATCGGCTCTTGAATTCATAGAAAACTTCTTCAAAAGCAACTCAAGAGCCGAGAATAGTTAAATTTTGGACTTTTACACACACTTTTGACAATATTTGTGGTTTTCCATATTCGCCTGAGCAATTCTTCATCAAGATTTGGACAAAATCAGCGAATCAAGAGCCACTTATAGTCCAAATTTTGATTGTTATCGGCTCTTGAATTCATAGAAAACTTCTTCAAAAGCAAATCAAGAGCCGAGAATAGTTACATTTTGAACCTTCACACACACTTTTGACAATATTTGTGGTTTTCCATATTCGCCTGAACAATTCTTCATCAAGATTTGGACAAAATCAGCGAATCAAGAGCCACTTGAAGTCCAAATTTTGATTGCTATCGGCTCTTGAATTCATAGAAAACTTCTACGAAAGCAACTCAAGAGCCGAAAATAGTTAAATTTTGGACTTTTATACACACTTTTGACAATATTTGTGGTTTTCCATATTCGCCTGAGCAATTCTTCATCAAGATTTGGACAAAATCAGTAAATCAAGAGCCGCTTATAGTCCAAATTTTGATTGTTATGGGCTCTTGAATTCATAGAAAACTTCTTCGAAAGCAAATCAAGAGCCGAGAATAGTTAAATTTTGGACTTTTACACACACTTTTGCCAATATTTGTGGTTTTCCATATTCGCCTGAGCAATTATTCTTCATCAAGATTCGGACAAAATCAGCGAATCAAGAGCCACTTATAGTCCAAATTTTGATTGTTATCGGCTCTTGAATTCATAGAAAACTTCTTCAAAAGCAACTCAAGAGCCGAGAATAGTTAAATTTTGGACTTTTACACACACTTTTGACAATATTTGTGGTTTTCCATATTCGCCTGAGCAATTCTTCATCAAGATTTGGACAAAATCAGCGAATCAAGAGCCACTTATAGTCCAAATTTTGATTGTTATCGGCTCTTGAATTCATAGAAAACTTCTTCAAAAGCAAATCAAGAGCCGAGAATAGTTACATTTTGAACCTTCACACACACTTTTGACAATATTTGTGGTTTTCCATATTCGCCTGAACAATTCTTCATCAAGATTTGGACAAAATCAGCGAATCAAGAGCCACTTGAAGTCCAAATTTTGATTGCTATCGGCTCTTGAATTCATAGAAAACTTCTACGAAAGCAACTCAAGAGCCGAAAATAGTTAAATTTTGGACTTTTATACACACTTTTGACAATATTTGTGGTTTTCCATATTCGCCTGAGCAATTCTTCATCAAGATTTGGACAAAATCAGTAAATCAAGAGCCGCTTATAGTCCAAATTTTGATTGTTATGGGCTCTTGAATTCATAGAAAACTTCTTCAAAAGCAACTCAAGAGCCGAGAATAGTTAAATTTTGGACTTTTACACACATTTTTGAGAATATTTGTGGTTTTCCATATTCGCCTGAGCAATTCTTCATCAAGATTTGGACAAAATCAGCGAATCAAGAGCCACTTATAGTCCAAATTTTGATTGTTATCGGCTCTTGAATTCATAGAAAACTTTTTTAAAAGCAACTCAAGAGCCGAGAAAAGTTAAATTTTGGACTTTTACACACACTTTTGTCAATATTTGTGGTTTTCCATATTCGCATGAGGAATTCTTCATCAAGATTTGGACAAAATCAGCGAATCAAGAGCCACTTAAAGTCCAAATTTTGATTGTTACTGGCTCTTGAATTCATGGAAAACTTCTTCAAAAGCAACTCAATAGCCGAGAATAGTTAAATTTTGGACTTTTACACACACTTTTGCCAATATTTGTGGTTTTCCATATTCGCCTGTGCAATTATTCTTCATCAAGATTTGGACAAAATCAGCGAATCAAGAGCCACTTAAAGTCCAAATTTTGATTGCTATCGGCTCTTGAATTCATAGAAAACTTCTACGAAAGCAACTCAAGAGCCGAAAATAGTTAAATTTTGGACTTTTATACACACTTTTGACAATATTTGTGGTTTTCCATATTCGCCTGAGCAATTCTTCATCAAGATTTGGACAAAATCAGCGAATCAAGAGCCGCTTATAGTCCAAATTTTGATTGTTATGGGCTCTTGAATTCATAGAAAACTTCTTCGAAAGCAAATCAAGAGCCGAGAATAGTTAAATTTTGGACTTTTACACACACTTTTGCCAATATTTGTGGTTTTCCATATTCGCCTGAGCAATTATTCTTCATCAAGATTTGGAAAAAAATCAGCGAATCAAGAGCCACTTATAGTCCAAATTTTGATTGTTATCGGCTCTTGAATTCATAGAAAACTTCTTCAAAAGCAACTCAAGAGCCGAGAATAGTTAAATTTTGAACCTTCACACACACTTTTGACAATATTTGTGGTTTTCCATATTCGCCTGAACAATTCTTCATCAAGATTTGGACAAAATCAGCGAATCAAGAGCCACTTGAAGTCCAAATTTTGATTGCTATCGGCTCTTGAATTCATAGAAAACTTCTACGAAAGCAACTCAAGAGCCGAAAATAGTTAAATTTTGGACTTTTATACACACTTTTGACAATATTTGTGGTTTTCCATATTCGCCTGAGCAATTCTTCATCAAGATTTGGACAAAATCAGCGAATCAAGAGCCACTTATAGTCCAAATTTTGATTGTTATCGGCTCTTGAATTCATAGAAAACTTCTTCAAAAGCAAATCAAGAGCCGAGAATAGTTACATTTTGAACCTTCACACACACTTTTGACAATATTTGTGGTTTTCCATATCTGCCTGAGCAATTCTTCATCAAGATTTGGACAAAATCAGCGAATCAAGAGCCACTTATAGTCCAAATTTTGATTGTTATCGGCTCTTGAATTCATAAAAAACTTCTTCAAAAGCAACTCAAGAGCCGAGAATAGTTAAATTTTGGACTTTTACACACATTTTTGACAATATTTGGGGTTTTCCATATTCGCCTCAGCAATCCTTCATCAAGATTTGGACAAAATCAGCGAATCAAGAGTCACTTATAGTCCAAATTTTGATTGTTACTGGCTCTTGAATTCATGGGAAAACTTCTTCAAAAGCAACTCAATAGCCGAGAATAGTTAAATTTTGGACTTTAACACACATTTTTGACAATATTTGGGGTTTTCCATATTCGCCTGAGGAATTCTTCATCAAGATTTGGACAAAATCAGCGAATCAAGAGCCGCCTATAGTCCAAATTTTGATTGTTACCGGCTCTTGAATTCATGGAAAACTTCTTCAAAAGCAACTCAAGAACCAAGAATATTTTAAAAACTAATCCCAAAGTGTAGAGATTGGATTTTAGGACATCTGAGGTTACTTCCAAATCATATTATGAAATCGCTTCTAAAAATCCCGAACTTTACAAATTGAGAAACACTCACTTTAATGATAAGTTCAAAATAAGTGCTTTTAATTTTCAAAGTAGATAGATAAATCATTGAGGCTTGTCTAGACGATTATGTAAATTTCAATGTGAGCACATCTAGATTCTTCCACGAAAACAAGAGCTTAATCACAGTATCTCTCCTTTATCTTGGAAACTGTGGAGCGTTTTATAGAGCTGGTTTATTTTCTTGTTCCAAGCTCTTGACCCTTGCCCAATTATTTAAACACTATGTATATCAATTATCCAAACATTATCTCTATCAATCATCCATGAAAATAAACATAATTACCAATATTAGTTCCTGCACATAAAGTCTGATTAAGCTTACAGTAAGCTACGCAAGTGAAAATTTCACTAACAGAAGACGAAGCCTTATTATCGCTGACATACAATTTCATTGTAGTAGGCAAAACAAAGTTATCATTGGTTTCCAAATCCCAAATCCTAAGAGTGATATCTCCAGCTAATATAGCCAAGCTAGAATTGCCGGCCCAAGTTAAACCTTGACTGCTAGTTTGAAGCCTCCCACTTAACTTAACCTTAGCAATTTCGCTTAAATTGCCTTGCCTATCCACCGAAAAATGGCCAATTGTAAGGCCTTCCATCATTATTACCAAGGCTTCTTTGTTAGTTTGGTAAAGCATATGAGAGATGCTGGTGCCTTCTGTGTTTAGTACTTCAGTGCAAGAACCATTTGCGTTTACATAATAAATTGAACCATTTTGAGTGGCAATGAAAAAGCAAAAATTATCAGAGCCTTCTTGGATTCTAAATTTTCTGGCTGTTGTTTTCGGACGCCAATTGCTGAACATGTCCAATGCATTTTCATCACCTGAAATATTCAATACAACACTTTAAAAAACTAAATTACCACATGCCAACGAGAAAGCCGGAAGCTTCTATTTGATTTGCATTATATTTACCATTTACTGCAGCTCTAGCCAGACCTTCAACATCAAAATCACTAGAAGTCTTCACTGTAAGCCTAAACGTAAGATTCGTAATAGATTCCTTATTCAAATCCAAATGAAACAGCATGTTCGTTTCACCTTTAGTATCAACCTTCCAACCCACAACTGACCCACTCTGAAAAACTACATTTCAATACCTCAACCAAAAGTAGATATATAGGGTAGTCCAACAAGCGCGCCTCGGTCAATAGTAGCCAAACCGTTGAACTTATGAAAAAATGTTCTGTATAAAAGTTTTAGCATTTCATCTCTGCTATCACCCAAAATTATTTTCAAGTATACAGGGTGTCTCAAAAAAGAGTAATCACAAATTTTATGTTTTTTTTTTAAAAATGGAATACGGTATTCTTTTGTTTGGCAAATAAAGCCGCTATATGCTCTGTATTCAACTTTAGAATAGTATTTGGGTTGAAAGCAGCGTTGCCAAGTTATGATTTTTCGAGGAAAAAAATATTCCAAAACATACTTTTTCAAAATTGTCATATTTCCGCCACTGTACATTAATTTCCCTTGAAAATTTACATTTGATTTATTGTTAGTCTAGTTGCTCCTGCATTATCTTCATATTTTTATTTAAGTATACAGGGTGTCCAAAATATTTGTCTAAACACGTCAATTTTAAAGTCCATTTTAAATGAGTTTTTCAAACGCAACACCCCGTATATTATTTTTCTATCGAAAAGTTGAAAATGTCCTCTTTCAGAAAATATTATATTATTTGCTGTATCTATCTCATTAATATTTTGAGATATTAAGATTTTTCCTTAACTTTTCACAAAAAACAGTGAAAAGTATAGTAATTTGGTAGCTTTACCTGGAAATTTTTTCGGGAGTTTTAAAAATTTTATAGGTTTTGACGTGTTCTTTCCGAATTCCTACTTTCTAAAAACAACTGAACTAAATATCAACATATATGGTATATTTGGAATCAGAAGAAAAAAAAAACTATCATTCTTCTAGCCAAAAATATTGGCTGTCAGACATTATTACAATCCCGCGTTTTCGATAACTTCTGTTCAGGTTGAACTGCACGCATCTTCCGTATTTTTGCTTGGGTTACCGGAGTTTTTACCATAATTGCCTGTTGCTACTAATTTTTACTACTATTGTTCAGCGTCGTTACATTTCCGTTCCGACACTTCACAAGCCTATAGAATAGTTAGGTAACTCTGCATCTGACCGCCTGTACCACCCGCTTTTCACACCGCCGTTCATAAGTTTTCTCTCACCATCGTTCGCACTGTTATAACACCCTCTCTTAACAACTTTTCAGGTGTTCATACCGTAGACTCGCCGAGTTTTGATCAAGTATCGTTTGTGATCCCTGGATTACCGTTTCTCCACTGTAACAAAACTGCCTGGTGCACGTGGACCCTCCACCACTTTAATCCTGAGGGTGGCGCCCGAGGTATACCACTGAATAAACCCTAACTGGGGATTCGCCCTGAAATTTGGCGCCCGAGCAGGGACCTATTGATGCTTCCGCCAGTATAAGTTTAGCCGTATCCAGACCAATCTCATTGACCGTGTGTAGCGAATACCACCCATAAGGGCGTTCTTCCGAATTTAGTTGTGCGCATGCGCAGTTCAAATAAGCCGTAATACCTGCTGTTTCACTCAACCGAAAATGCTGATTGCATTTACCGTTCCCACAAATACGCCCATTTGAATAATGCAAGTGTTTGTCATTTTGGCACCTGTCATTTGCCCGTTTTGATATTCGCAAAAGATAAGAGACATAAAACCCTACAACTTTCATATTTGAAGTTTTTTTCACCTTGTATAGCTAAAGCTGTAGGTAGGGGTCAAAATATAAGGAAACACCCTGTACTGATGATTCGAACAAAATACTTGAACTCCGCTAGCAGATGGCTCGTAGAAGGGAGAGAGGGCGCTCCACGCCATGACAGTACGTTCCCTTATATCTGCGAAAAAAAGAACAGACCGTAGTAAACAGGTTTTTTTAAATACCTACGTGGCGAAATATACGACAAATACGTGTTGGTGTAGCTGTATGTTGGTTTGTCGCACTCTTACGCTGAAACTATTTATTCTACAAGATAAAAAGATTAATTATGGGAAAATTTTCTCTAGTTTAATTTAGATAGGTTACATAACTATATTTTCATGTTAATGAGAAAGAAAGGAGATGAGATATTGTGAAAAAAACCTGTTTTTTTGGCGAAATTTTTCAATATTGTGGCTCGGGCGGCAAAAATACGAGGTGGCAAAGTAGAAATTCGGAAAGAACACGTCTAAACCTATAAAATTTTCAAAACTCCCGAAAAAATTTCCAGGTAAAATTACCAAATTACTATACTTTTCATCGTTTTTTTTGTGCAAAGTTAAGGGAAAATCTTAATATCTCAAAATATTAATGAGATAGATACGACAAATATGATATTTTCTGAAAGAGGACATTCTCAGCTTTTCGATAGAAAAATAATATACGGGGTGTTGCATTTGAAAAACTCATTTAAAATGGATTTTAAAATTGACGTGTTTAGAGAAATATTTTGGACACCCTGTATACTTAAATCGAAAAATGAAGATAATGCAGCAGCAACTAGACTAACAATAAATTACATGTAAATTTTCAAGGGAAATTAATGTACAGTGGCGGAGATAGGACAATTTTAGAAAAGTATGTTTTGGTCTATTTTTTTCTTCGAAAAATCATAACTTGGCAACTCTGCTTTCACCCCAAATACAATTTTAAAGTTGAATACAGAGCATATAGAGGCTTCATTTGCCACACAAAAACCTACCCTATTCCATTTAAAAAAAAAAACATAAAATTTGTAACTACTCTTTTTTAAGACACCCTGTATACTTGAAAATAATTTTGGGTGATAGCAGAGATGAAATCCTAAAATTTTTATACAGAACATTTTTTCATAAGTTCAACGTTTTGGCTACTATTGACCTAGGCGTGCTTGTTGGATTACCCTGTATATAATTCTTACGGAATCACATGAAACTAATCGTCCGCCCTTTTCGCTAAACTCCAACAAAGTAACTGGAGTTTTGTGAGGCCCAACCACTGCAATAAACTCTTTGTCGGTTCCATTCCAGACTTTTAAGTCACCATTTTCCCAACCGCTAACTAAAAGCGTTTTTTCCGGGTGCCAAGCTAAAGCGGTTACTTGATAGCTGCGGTGTACAGGGCAATAGATGTCTTTTATTGATTCTCCCTAAAGAAGATTCATTACCTAAGTGTTTGTATGATTGTACCTATAATTCTTACCAGTTCATCGAAAATAATCACAAATCCCCCTTTTTCCTGAGAAAAGCTGGCCACAGCTAAAAGGGATACGTTGGGGTGCCAAAGGGTATTGATGGAAATCGAGCCGGGTTCAGGAAAAGTAACTGCATTTTCCATATAAAGAGTCATTTTGCATTTTCTTAAACTTTTATTTTTGTTGACAAACACAAACTTTTCTGCTGTCGCCCCAGGCAACGAACAGCTGGTTGTATTTTTGGCCTTGATGAAAGAAACCAAAGAAGCATAGCATAAAGAAGACTTATGATAAGTAATTATTCTTGAATTTCTTGCTATGCTGACGGATGATACGTTGTTGGTGCGGTAATGTTTCTGGTATTAAAAAGTGGTTCATATAAACCAATGCTAGAAGTGAGATAGGGAGTTGAGAATTTCAAAAAGAAGGAGTAGGTCATGAATACTTCTTCTTTTTTAAAGGGATGACATATTTAGCCTCTGACACATTTTTTCGTAGTTATATTCAGTGTCTCTATAGAATTTTAAATGAATACGATGCATAAATTTCTTCTGCACTCACTCAATTTTGTGGATATGGAAAGCATACTGGCGGTCCCATACAGAGCTGGCATAATCCAAGAGACTTCTAACAAGTCTGCAATATAGAATTTTAATGGAACATACAGTATATATCAGAGGTATTGCGTTCAATAAATCCCAACATTCTCAGATGAGAGGAAAATAATAGCTTATCATCAAGAATAATTCCAAGATCCTTTATGTTTACACCTGATGGTAATGTTGAAAATTAGTTTTAACTATACGACGAGAAAATATCATGAGATTGCACTTAGAGATTTTAACATGCATACCATTATTATCACGACACCAAACCACCAATCTGTGGATATCCTTGGACTTGTTGATTTATGTACTGCGACGACAAAATTTGTTTTCCAGAATTTGGGAGAATATCCACTTTCCAAGAACTTATTAAATACTTATAATGTTTAGGGGCTTAGCGAGAATAAAGGGGCAGTTTTTAAGGAAGACAGGATGAATATTATCAGGATCTGGACCCTTGTGAGGATTGTGGGTTACAGGCAGAGTGGACAGAGGAAAAAAAAACAACAATAATTATTATTATGTAGTAGGTAATCTATATTATATATTTCATCTATTCTTAAAACAGAAATATTTGCAAATTATTGCAGCAAAAAAACCAAGAAATCAGTTCATCTAACTAAAACTATTAAAGGAAAATAAGAAAAATGCTCTACAAACAATTAATACTAAAAGACTTTATACAATAGTTATAAAGTTGTAAAAACCAAACACCAACATGAGATTTTCTGAGCAAAAAACAAATAGAATGTAATTCCTAAAAACTAATTGCAATGCCCCTACAATAAAACCTATTTACAATTCGAGGGGAATCTAAAAATTGACATTACACTTTTACATATCAGTCAAATATTCACTTTTGTGTGGTCTAAAAACTATTCTAGCTAAATGTTAGCCAACTAAAAACTAAGCCTAATAAAACGATACAAGAAAAATAATAACTATGGTGTTATTTTTGCAGTCCTGTAGGCAATATCACTATTAGTAGCAACAAATAAAGTTTTAGTATTAAAACATGGCTAGAATCTAAATAAAATCAAATTATATGTATTAAAAAGACTAATTTAGCCACTCTCTATTATAGTCTGGCCAAGTTGCTACACGTCTTATTCGACCTAGCTAGGTGCAACTAGCCAAAGTGTTGTTGAGACAAGCAACAGATTCAAAATGAGCGGGCAAAGTCAACAGAGCATCTTCAGCTGTACGATTTTCTGAGCAATTAACAGGTTTAGCTCTTGTGGTGTCCACACAATCCACCGGCATCTTGACAGTTTCCATGTTGTAGTTGTACCCTTGCAAAGTGATCTGCAAAAACACAATTCAATAATAACTAGTTGTTTATAGGCCTATGGATAATTCATACCTTGATAATAGTGTGCAAAGGTACGTGGATATAAGGAATCTCTTCGGGATCGGTTTCCAAAAAGTAGCCAAGCACGCAACGCAGTACCGCTTGATGGCTGATAGTAAGCACGTTAGTTTCGCACTCTAGCTGAGTCAGCACTGGAACTAGACGTTGCATTACATCTATGTAGGATTCACCTTGCGGGTAACGGTACTTGAGCTTTTCACGGTCTCTGAGTGCCAGTTCTCTGGGAAAACGATCTTGGAGTTCTTCATATGAGAGATTTTCACAATCACCCTGCAAGTTATAGAGTTAAATATCAATTTTTCTTAGTTACTGTAGCATTATCTTGTTACTTACCGACCAAATTTCATCTAATTCGGGCAAATGTTGCTGAGGCGCGTTGATCAAAGCGCTGGTGGCTTTGGTTCGTTGCAAGGTCGAAGTCCAAATTTGCAAAGAGGGCAGCTTCAAATCTTGGACATGTCTGGCCAAGGATTTTGAATACATACGCCCTCTGGGGGATAGTGGGGCATCACCACCAATACGACCAATTACGTTGAATTCACTTTCCCCATGCTACAAAAATTTCAATTAATAATTGCATAAATCAAAAAGAAAAATTATTCTTACTCTGCTAAAATACAAAGTCTGCTGGTAAGGTTTGGGTGTAGAAATATAAGCCAATATTTTCCCTTCACGTACTCCGGTGACTCCGTGTGCAATAACTCCACCTTCACCGCCATCCAGCAACTTCACCATTGGACAAGGCAACTCCCATAAACTGCCCAAAGTGGGCGACTCATACTGAGCCTTGTAATGGGCCATTTTCAATGTCAAATCCTTTAGAGCCTGCTCAGTAGCCATATCTCTATAATCAGCACTGTATTGCAAGATTTCTTTGAAATTCCTTTCCAGTAAAACTGGATCCTCGCAAACGCACTCGATGAACATCACTCTGAAACCCAATTGGCTGTAGGCGAGATCATAGATTTCTTGGCGCTGAGCCCTTGACACGTTGGGACCGTCCAGGACGGCCACTTGGTGTCCGCGGGTCGCCAGCCAATCACAAGCTTCTTCCAAGGCTTCGCGGAAACTTTGTTGACGGATTCGCCAGGCTGGCAGGTTGTCAGCACGGAACATTTCGTGGGTGGCGTACTGTTTCATGTGTTTGCGTCTGTATTCTGATATGTCGTAGACTGGAATTGAAATATTGAATTTAGACTTTGTTATCATCAGTATCATATATAACATTATCACAATATACCGTATTATTATACATTAGACAATATCACACGAGAGAAAATATCCAGTACAAGAAAGTACTGTATCACAAAGTTGTTACATTTATGAATATATTAGTTGTGTTTTCCAATTCCTTGATTGTATTAATGCCCAAACTGTCAGTTCCAGGTGATTTTCCTGGTTTTAATTTGTTTATAATTACAGTCACATCTTCTGTTGTCACAAGTTCCCATTGATTTATATAGGCAGTAGAAGTTGGTTGGAGTTGAGGGTAAAAAATTTTTGGGGGGATGTTTTCTGCTAATTCTGCAACAATTCCGGAAAAGTATTGGTTTAGCAAGTTGGCAACATCCTGTAGGTTCTGCAAAGTGTGTCCTTCATGTACCAACTTGGGTAGCTAGCAGTCTTTCCTGGGTTTGGAGTTGTTGATGCATGTTCTGTTTTTTTTTGCTTATAATTAAATTAAAAATACCCTCTCCTTATACAAGGGATATTTTAAAAATCTTAGATACCTGATAATTAATCAGAGACAAAAGGACCCTGCAAAAAAGAAGAAGGGGGAGAAACCCCAAAGAAGAAAGGCTGATCCCATACTACCCACCTCTTGGTCAACCAGGAGGGCTTGACGACCCACTGAGAAAAGGCCTCAGTGGAGCTGGAGTGCGATGGTACCTCAGGTTTCTTCAACAGGGCATGACACCAGAAGAAGCCAGAGAAAACGCACTGACCAGGAAAGTGCAGACACCAAAAAAGGCACAGAAAAGGGGGCCCAAAAACATAACCCCTCCGCACAAAGCGGACGTGAAAAGGAAGAGGACGGAACCTCCTCATGCTGACAGAGCCGCTGGGCCAAGCACCAGCTACGCCGTCAGCAAAAACCATAAAGGCGGCAGCACTCCCCGCGGCATTCCCTAAGGAAACCCTCAGTGCAGAAGAACTTTCTGCCCTAGAGGACGCCATTGTGGAGGAAATGATGAAAGGGGCGGAACATAAACTCCAATTTAGAGGTATACATTTCCGACCAAGCATGCTGGTGATAGATTGCCTCACCAAGGAAACAGTTGAGTGGCTGATAGAGCACGTCCCCAGGTTGGAAACCTGGCAGGGAGGAGAGCTGATGGTGTGCCTGGGAGACGACATCCCAAAGGCGCACACCATCACAGTCTTCTTCCCAGGAAGCAAAGGGCAAGACCCCCTTAAAATTCTAAGCCTGGTAAACACCCAAAACGAAGGGCTCAGCACTCAGCTGTGGAAAGTAATGGGCTGCAAGGACGAGGGTAACGGCCAGTTACTCAACATCGGCATAGACGATGGGTCCTGCGATACCATTAGGAAAATGGGGTACAACCTCTTCTATAGGTTCGGGAAAATCCCCGTACACGGCCTAAAGAAGAGAAAGGATAAAGAAGGAGCTAACGAGGAACCGAACGAGCCCACCTCCTCGGAATCCAAACCGAAGTCTCCTTCAGAAGAAGACGAAGGGAAAGAAGACGAAGGCCTTGAGGAGGGAGAGAAAACTCTCACTCCGGTAGAGGAAGTTCTCAGTGAGGAAGAAAAAATGCTTCTGGGCGATTAGGAGGTCATCACTCCACCACACCAGAAACAACAATAACAGGTAAGATGGCTAATTACACCACAATAGCCCAGGTGCATCCGCTGCCATAGCGCGGTTGTTTACGTCGGCACATTTGGGAGCCGTATTAATCCAAGAACCTTGGATACACAAGGGGCAGATCAAAGGCCTGTCAAGTAAAGGGGCAAAAATAATCTGGGACAGTCGGTTTAACGACCCTAGAGCATGCATTCTCCTGAATGAAAATATTAATCATTTATGTCCTTCAGAATTTACGTCGCGGGACTTGGTTACGGTTCGGGTTAAACTTACCACCGACCCACCACACCGCGACCTAGTACTGGCATCAGGCTACTTCGCTGGAGATGGGCAAGCATCACCAGAAGAAGTACAGAGACTAGTCGAGTACTGCAACAGGAACAAACTACCGCTCCTAATTGGCTGTGACGCCAACGTCCACAGCACTATCTGGGGAAGTACCGACACAAACCTAAGAGGTGAGCAACTGTTAGAATTTATCTTTCAAACAAACCTGAATATACTAAATGTAGGGAATACACCAACATTTGTTACTAGGGTCAGACAGTAGGTGTTAGACATAACACTTTGTAGTCCAAATATCGACCAAATGATCAGGAATTGGAGAGTCTCAAATGAACCCTCTCTCTTTGCTCATAGAATCATAATATTTGAAGTAAAAGGAGTGCAGGAACGAACTGCCTCGTATAGAAACCCCAGAAACACAAACTGGGAAGAATACACAAGCAAACTGCAACGCAACCTCAAACAAAATAAGGTTAGCTGCAGGAACACACGTGAAGCAGAAGAAACCCTTCAAATCCTTAACGGAGCAATCATGGAGGCATACGAATCCAGTTGTCCTGTAAAGGAACAAGTAAACAAAAAAGGTTGCCAATGGTGGAATAGTCACCTGTCACGGCTTAGTTCGCTGTCTCTTTAACAGAGCCAAATGGGACGGAGAATGGCAGGGCTACACCGAAAAGCTGACTGAGTACAACAGAGAATTAAGGAAGGCCAAACGGAAAAACTTCCAGAACTTCTGTGAATCTACCACAGAAACACCATCAGCAGCCAGACTATACAAAACCCTGGCAAAATGCAGGACGCAAGGACCATTGACACTTAAGAAACCAGACGGCAGTTACACAGAAAATGAAGAGCAACGAGCAGCTCTACTACTGGAAACCCATTTTCCAGGAAGCATACCCAATGGTACTGAAGAAAACAAAGAACGGCACAGAAAAACCAAGCAAGAAAACTGGGAGGTTGCCAAGAACCTTTGCACTCCGCAGCGGCTGGCTTGGGCGATCGACTCATTTCAATCGTTCAAATCACCTGGAGTAGACGGCATTTTTCCAGCCCTGTTGCAAAAAGGGCAAAATGAAATTATGCCGTATCTAATCAAACTCATTAGATACAGCCTTGCGACCAGATACATACCCAGTCAATGGAGAAGAGCTAAAGTAACTTTCATCCCAAAGGCAGGGAGAAAGGATGCCACTCTACCGAAGTCGTTCAGACCTATATGTCTCACGTCGTTCTTGCTGAAGACAGTTGAGAAAGTTGTAAATAACTATATCAGAACAAATGTTCTAGAAAAGACGCCACTACACCCTAGGCAACATGCTTACAGAGCGGGCAGATCAACAGAAACCGCTCTATTTGAACTCACTGACAGCATCCAAAACACACTGCTGAATAAAGAAGTAGCCATCTGCGCCTTATTAGACATAGAGGGGGCCTTCGATAACACCTCTCATGAGTCAATAAAGAATGCGCTTATCAGAAAAGGAGTGGACAAAACCACATCCACCTGGATGTGTGAAACGTTAGCCACCAGAACTGCAGAAACGGATGTGGGGGAACAAACCATACAAGTCACCACAACGAGAGGATGTCCACAGGGAGGGGTACTCTCACCCTTGATGTGGAGTCTAGTAGTCGATGATCTACTAAATACACTGACAGACCAGGGCTTCAACTGCCTTGGCTACGCCGATGATATTGTCATCATAGCCAGAGGCAAACACGAAGGAACACTCTGTGACCTTATAGAAAAAGCACTCCAAACCACGAAGGAATGGTGTCAGACTGTGGGACTGAGCCTTAACCCATCCAAAACCACACTGGTAACATTTACAAAAAGAAGGAAACTCCCATACCTGAGGAACATTCGCCTTGATGGAAGCAGGCTTCACTGGAAACAAGAAGTTAAATTCCTAGGAATAACCCTAGACTCTAAACTCCTTTGGAACCGACACATAGAGAACATAACAAACAAAGCAATTTCGGCACTCATGGTATGTAAAAACATTGCGGGCAAAACGTGGGGTTGTAACCCATCGATCCTACGATGGATGTATACCATGATAGTGAGACCTATCATCACCTATGGAGTGGTAGCCTGGTACAGCCGAACCCAGCTAGTAACGGCTAGGAAAACCCTAGGAAAGGTACAAAGACTAGCATGTCTATGCATAACAGGAGCAATGAGAACATGCCCAACCGCGGCAATGGAAGTCATCCTAGACCTAACACCACTTCACACAACAGTGAAGCGGGTTGCCAGTGAATCATATCTAAGACTGGCGAAGATAAATCTACAAGGGAAAACGCACTTTGGCAGAGCTTTCCCTCTCCCAAACTGTGCACACCTCATGGACTTACCAAAAGACGCGATTGTTGATAAATTCAGTTTCGAGAAAAACTTTTTCATCGAACTAAGTACAAAGAACAGATGGAACATAGAATGTATCCAGTCCCTTAAGGCAAACACCATCAAATGGTACTCAGACGGCTCCAAAACTGCTGAGGGGACAGGAGCCGGAGTATTCGGGCCACGAACCAGATATTCGGAGCCAGTGGGCAAATCACCAAGCATATTCCAAGCCGAACTTCATGCGATAGGAAAATGCGTGCAGTTCAACCTGAACAGAAGGTACCGAAAACGAGAAATTGTAATAATGTCTGACAGCCAAGCAGCTATCAAAGCATTGAGCTCGCCGATAATCAATTCTAAGATAGTATGGGAATGTCTACAGAAACTCAATGAGCTGGGGAAGGAAAACAAAGTAACCCTACTATCGGTTCCTGGACACATAGGAGTCGAGGGCAATGAATGCGCAGACGAACTTGCAAAAACGGGAGCGGTCACTCCCTTCATTGGGCCAGAACCATTCTGCGGCGTCGGAAATGCGCACCTCCAAGAAATCCTCAAAAAGGAAGAGAACCGGCTAAGGAACAAACAATGGCTAGATCAACCAGGACTACGACAGGCCAAATATCTATTGGGCAGCTACAACCAAAAAAGATCGGAACTGCTGGTCAACCTTAGCAAGAAAAGTCTCAAAACTCTAACCG